AGGTAACCAGGACATTCTGTCTCCTCCGTTGCCTTCATTACCTCCTTCCACTGCAGCGTATTGAATGCATTCCTAACATCGAACAACAGCAGGGCCGCCCAGCGATGTTCATCACCTCTGTTGCGCATTGCTTCGAGTACACTCACGATTGCATCAATCGTGATTTTCCCATTACAAAAGCAAAATTGCCTCCGAGATAATGACTTCTGAGAAGTCAATGAGAATTGACTTCTCAATCACGTCGTCTATGCATACTCGCACCGATGTATGGAGGGAGACAGATAAGAATGTGTGCGATCAACATGTCTATTCTTAAATTTTTTCTTCTTCTCGTAGCTTTACAATTTGGGGTGGGTTTTGGCTGACTGCACAACTTGCTTCCATCTCACATGGTCAATGATAGTTGGGTCGGTAGGGTACCTATATTGTTCTTAAATTTGACCATATGTTATCTCTCAATCGCATTCGTGGGCGTCCTAAGAGCTTCTCCCAAACGGGGCTTCCTACCAGATTAACTTAGTAAGGCGGTTATTAGGGATAAGGATAGCTCATCTTATTTGGAATAGTCTGGTTGTAGACGTGTTGACTTATTTTCTTAGGTTTTGCAGCCAATAAATTATTGTTCTTCTAAGTCGTCTTTTTTGATACACCTGTTAATGTTGGTACCGAGATATATGTAGCGATTGACAGTCAATTGGCTGTTGGTTAACCAAAAATCTGTGTATTTCGTATCTTGCACTTTTTTTAATTGCCGTATTGCCAGAATCCAGTAAGAGCCTAAGAAGGTATCCATTGGATTCTGACAGGCAACGGTGGGGGAAATCTTTTTTGGACCTCTACGTCACGGAACAAGACACCCTGGTATCTTTCGGCCGAGAAGACACCAGGGTAGTGCCGGATTAACCGTGTTCCGGCTAAAACCTTAACCACCGTTCCAGAGAGGTGGTCTTGCCACTCTATAAAGAACTAAAAATTTATACATAACCATACCTATTACCGTAAATCAGAAAATGTTAGACCATAAACTAATAAACAATATTAACTATAAATTTTAGATCCCTGGCTTAATTTCCTCTTCTGTCCTCCTGTTCCTTTTTCTTCATCACCCCAGAAATCAGACAGTGTACTTCTCTCCATTCTTTCTCTCCTCTCAACATAATGTTTACAATATTTCTTTCATCCAGCCCGAAACCCATTCGCCTCTCGAAATCTCCCATCTCATTTACCCATCTCTGGCAGTTAAAAATGTGGGCGGGAGCATCCGGTACCGCACAAACAGTACAGTCTGCCGAGGCAGATTTGCCTATTCTATTTGTGAAGGTGCCAAAACTACCATGTCCGGTCAGAAACTGCGTCAGGAAGTAGTCTAGTTTCCTGAACTTACATTCCCACCACGGTCTCAGATCGGGAATAAGCTCCTTCGTCCACCTTGCCTTTCCACTATCATTCGCCCATTCTCTCTGCCACTCTACTATCGTTCTTTCTCTTTCATTCTCATGTATATTTACATCCATCCTCCTCGCATACATCCTCGCTCGCTCTTTACACAACAAAACGATCGGTATCACCGCTCCAATGACATATAGAGCCTCATTAGAGACTGTCCTATATGCACTAGACACCCTGAGGAGCATTCGCCTTTGCGAAGTCTCCATCAGCTTAGCGTATTTCGCAATGTTTAGTACACTACACCACACAGGGGCAGCGTAGGTTACTACCGACTGGAAAACTCCATTTAGCACCTTTCTTTTGGTGCTTCCTGGGCCTCCAATGTTTGGCATCAACCGTATCAACGCTTCCAGATTTCGGTTTGCCTTCTCTACTGTCTTTGTGATGTGTACTCCGAACCTTAGACCTTCTGACAACCAGACTCCCAGATATTTAATTGATTTAACCGGTGCAACCTCCACACCTCCACTATAAAACGAAGAGAGGATCTTTCCCGGGTCCCTTTGAGAACCAACACCCCAGTCTTCTGAGGCGCTAGCTGTAGATCGTTCTCTCTGATCCACCTACTAATGCGACGCAGGGCTGTATTAGCCGCATTAGCCATGTTTGTTTTCTGACTCGCCTTCACAACCAGTTCGAGATCATCAGTATAAGCTACAAGAGTGCATCCCCTTGGCATCTGTAATTTAAACACCCCGTCGTACAGGACATTATCTTGCACTTACTAACTACAATTTATTTTGTAAATTATTACAAGTATTATCTACTATAACCAAACTGTTAACATTATCGTGAATTACCAGTTGACATATGCAATCTTGATAAATCGAGGAGTGAGACACGGAAGCATGCCGTACCCGTTATTAGTTAATAAAAACTCTGAACATATCTTCGCGCACATGCGTTGAAAGAACAAGCGGAAGGCATATTAGTCTCGAAATGCATCTAAATAACATTGAATATGTTGACAACGTAGTCATTTTTGCAGACAGTTTAGAGGGTTTAAAAACAATAATATAACGTGTTCAATTTTCTTGAAAAATTAAAAAGCGAAAAATTATGTAATTTTTTCGCTGTATTATTAACTATCCTTATATCACAATTTTACAATCAATACCTTAGTCCAACCCTTGATAACCCTTCCTATTCCAGTTCAACCCCCTCTCTTAAGAAATACAGACAGTGTTAAGATAGCAAAGAAGAAAGACTCTCTCTCTTAGTTTGGCCATCGCTAGGGCCAGACGTCCTCTCTCTTGATCTGACTACCGCCAAGGTGAGTCGTGCCTTTTTGGATTCTCGGCTACCGCTAAAGACAGTCATTCTGTCTCTCTCTCTTCGATTATCAAGAAGAACAGCATCTATCTTGGCTGTTCTTCTATCGTAATTACCTCTTTCCCGCCTTAGTTACGCGAGAAATACCGAAAATACTGTATTAAATCGTGTACAGACAAAGTGTGCTCTATATCGTGATATTAGTGCGAAACACGTGTTCAGAAACCGGTGCATCGGACAGATTTCGCGGGTGAAGAATAACCACGAGTGAAGACCGGAAACAACCGTGAGAGTGTGGAGCAGAAATATTGGTAAGACTTTATATAAACTTAATTTGCTATTGTCTGTATACCTTTTACTACTTATCCTAATTTTATTGAACCAGCCCTATATAATACAGTCCACATACACGGAAATTATACTAATAATTTCCCACATATGTACTCCCTTTTTGTACATAACGCATATCACATATCAGTAAAGATTATGAACTGTATTAATTAAAAAAATGCATGTAGCTATATAGGTGGCTGAAAATATCCTACGTATACAGAGTTATCGATTAACGAGTCTTGTGAAGACTATCCAAAGGAACAGAGGTTGTCAATATTGGTCACATAACGTGAGAACATTCGGTAGCGAATGCTGACCATTCAACTAGTTTTAAAGCTGAAATGTATACATCTATATACACACCACATGTTGGCTACATGTTGACGATACATTCATTATTTGGCCCCATAGCAGGGATGCATTGGTGACTTTTCAAACCCATCTGAATGGTATACATTCTAGTATCCAGTTCACGATGGAGGTGGAAACTGATTAGTCCCTACCGTTTCTCGACGTTATCATAAAGAAAAACCAATTCCAAGGATTTCATTACTCTGTTTATCGAAAACCCACCCCTACCAATTGTTACTTGCATGCTAACTCTCATCATTCCCCTTCATAAATTAGACCCGCTGAGCTCGTTAGTTTAAAACAAGCCCTCATCCAAAACGGTTACCGCGAAAATAACATCAATAGGAGCATCCACAGATATCAGTCTCCTACTTAATCTCAACCCAAAGACTCAGACCCTCATCATACGAAAGCTTTTCTTCCTTACATCAAAGGTGTCACTGACAAAATTCTTAAATCAAGAGGAATAAAGAAAATATTTACCCCCAACAAAAACTTTAATCTCTTGTCCGATCAATCAAAGACAACATTCCAAATGAACAACACGGAGTTTATGAAATTCCTTGTGCAGACTGCCCCCGATCCTATATAGGCCAAACAAATCGTAGAATCCAAAATAGGATTTATGAACATTCCATTTCTGTTCGCAATTCCGACTCAATTTCAGCTCTAGGTCAACACCATCTTCATACAGGTCACAAAATTGATTTTGAAAACTTCAGAACCATAGCCCTCATCCGCTTCTATAAACCAAGAATTATCCGAGAAGCCATAGAAATTGAAAAAATGCCAAATTGTCTCAATAAAAGAGATGACGGCATACGGTTACCTTCGACTTGGAGACCTCTCATAAAGAAAATATCGTCCGCTCCACCCGTCAATCAAAATCCTACTGTCAGAAATGTTCGCGTCAACCCCCGCACCAAACCCCGCACCAAACCCCGCGCTAACCCCACACCAACCTCCACCCAAACCACGTCACCATGGACGGTATAAATGAACTGTCCTCTATTCCCAGTACCAGTAATGCATTGGTTAGTGATCAGTGTAGTAGTGTCTGGGGGCTCGGGAGACTGAGACCTCGGAAGCCCTGAAGAAGACATCAAAGAGGATGTCGAAAGCTCGGCGCAATGATAATCGACGCGGTTCAATCCGGAAGACTGTTGAGTTTAATATTAATTCCTGTAATAGTATTAATCTTAGCTTTAGGTTTAACTATATACAATAATATATAGATGTATAAATACTGCTGTCATTAGATACAGTATTTGTGTGTAAATGCAATGTGTTCAGTGTTCAATATTATCACATATCCGAGGTAATGTGTATTACATTTCTTTGCACTTAGTTGTGTTGATTGCATCTTCCAGTTAAAGAATGCTTTGCTAATGTATGTCCCGCCTGATTCCCTAATAAATTTTATTATTAATAATCCTTCTTTTTATATTAAATCTGCCTCAGAGTAAATTTGATAAGTTTTTAATTAGCACTAGTTCAGCATTTGCTAATGCATTCATTTTAATTAAAATATTTAGTTTTATTAAAAACGAGGAGGCTTTAAAATAAACAAAATTGAATAAGGTCAATGCACTTACCGGCGGATGCACTTCCAACCACAGGAACACCAGGTCTGGCTACAGATACTTCCCAAATACCATCTTTGTGTCCCACGTACTCTTTCAACAAGGCACAAGCATACTGTGGAGCTTTGAAACTTGAAACTATTTTGCTGGTTTGAGCTTTTAATATGTGAGCGGTTTTGTTCTTCTGGGTAGCTGAACTCACTAAAATAATATGTATAATAATGCATGTATCAAAAAATATTTAACAAAATATATGCCTATATTTGCAAATAAACATAAAATTTACGATATATTAATCACATTTTGTAAATATTACGGTCCACTTATTACAGAAACAAAGGTACAAAATGATACTGGGAAGACCCAGGATATGATGCTTATCTAATGTATAATATACAGTGGTGAGTGCTTTATCACCCGGCTTTTTAACGTAAGAGATAGAAAACACAGTTACCTTGTGAAATAAAAAGAGATGAAACTCGTAGAGGTGGGAAATAATCGATAGAAACCTATAATTTACATTACATTGCATTAACACTATCGATAGTCTCACACCTTTAGACGTTAGCTTCCAGCTAAATCACCTCGGTCATAATTATTATTTGTGACGTCGTATGTGTAACGTATTTCAGTGACATTTTTTAATTTCGCATAAAGTAAAAAATGATTGACCACAATAAAGCAAAAATGTGAATAAAATAAATTAATTAATAGTGATTATTTAATCTAAAGTTTTAAATTATTAACCAAAAATAATTTCTATGATTTGAGGAGTTTCATACACTCTTGTCACGGAAATAAACATCAGTCCTTCGTGGATTAGTGGTAAGAATTCGACACTGCGACGCAGACGATTAGAGTTCAAAACCCATATGTGGTTTTCTTTTTTTTTTAATAATTTGAAATTATGCAGAGATCGTTTTGATTTGAATCACTAAACATTTATGTCAGTCGTTACTAGTATTAGAAGTGTTTAAAGTTACACATAAATATCTTTTTGAATTTGAATTATTTTGTATTTCCGTTTTATAACATTGGAATAAGAATAAATTGTAAATAATGAGTTTTTCGAAAACTTGTTACCTAATATGTATAATATTTTCTATTATTTTTTGATTGAGTAAAACAAAAATTTTATCCTTGGTGGGAATTGAACCCCAATCTTCTTGTCAATAGACCACGTGTCTAATAATTACACCAACTCCACATACAATAAATGTTTTCGGACAGAACATACCTACCTTTAGTTTAGTCAAATATTTCAGTTGAGTTATTTTTATTATTAAATAAACTTAAAGATTTATAATTTAAAATCGCTACTAATTAATGTTTTTTACTTTAATTCTTAATTTATTCAATCATTTATTCTTACATCAGAAATTATTAAAATAAAATATTTTCGCGGTCATCCGTATAATTATGACTGAAGTCAAATAGCCACGTCTAAGAACTAGCTTTATCTCATTCTTTCTCACAAAATCCATCTTCTATCCTTTCCGCTATTTTGCCGGGTTTTAAAGCGACTTAAACACTTCTAATACTATAATAACGTCTAAAGGTGTGAGACTATCGACGGTGGTAATGTAATGTAATGTAAATTATAGGTTTCTATCGATTATTTCCCACCTTTACGAGTTTCATCTCTTTTTATTTCACAAGGTAACTGTGTTTTCTATCTCTTACGTTAAAAAGCCGGGTGATAAAGCACTCACCACTGTATAGACTCATACTCAGCGAATGCTGCAAAAAGTGTCACAAACATGATTACCTTTGTTTATGTAAATGTTTATTGTTATTATACGAAGTTGCACGAAGTTCACATTTCTTACGAAGTTGACGTTGTGTTTATTTTAAAATTTAACATAAGTGTTTGTGTCCGCGAAAGTTCGAAAAACCAAACATCACTTTTCAAGTAAGTCATTTTTGAAATATATATTGTTTTATACAAATTAAGTTATGTCAATAATTGGTTATGTGTTGATAGTCAGTGAAGGCATTTAGTTTATTTAATAAATAAATTATACAATATACTCAATACTTAATGTCCTTTAAATGTTTTGTTTTTTGTTATTAAAATCATTTAAATATAATTTTGCTAACTAGTTTTTTTTTCATAATTTCTTTTTGATGAATAAAGTAAACATAATATGTAAAACCTCGATATAACGGACTACTTGGGAGGACGGGGTGTCCGTTAAAGCCGAAAGTCCGTTATATAAAAATATGTTTAAAATAAATCAAAATGCTTTTTTTTAAATTAAAATGTATGTACACTGTATTTAGATATATATAAAAAATACAAAATACAAACAAAATTCTATTTAATTGTCTTCGGATATTCGTCGTGAAGTGACGTTGCTGTGGACATCGACGCGCTTGCTGTCGGTAATCCTGTTTTGAACAAGTTTCGTTTGCACTTTCGATGTTTGCTGTTTTTTATGATCAACTCTCTAAAATTACGAAAATGCGTAGAATACAGCTCTCGTTATTGTTCTATTTTAAGATGCTCTTACCATATGTAAGCCAAGCGTTCGTTTTAATAACAAAATTTCAAACAGTTCAAGAGATACTGCCATAATTACAGGATTATAACTTTTTTGTGTGCACGTTCGTACTAAGGTAAGTTAAGGTATATTTGGGCATAGAATACATTTTTACGTTTTTCCTGTGGGTTCAGGAATTACGTGACGTACACGTAGATTAACTAACTTTTAAACATTCAACTACAAAACAACTAACTTACTATATAAATAGCAAATATCTCATAATTAATGATCGTATATCACTTTACAAGACAAACACTTTGCTAATCGCATAAAAACTGTCTCCTCAAAGGGACGCCGCAGCTGTTTCTATCCACAAACAGATGTTTTAGAGATCGCCAGCGAAGGCAAGAACGTTGAATCAGCGCTTTCAACATGATATTCTTTGCTGCAAGAAGTCATTCCAATAGAAGAGTATATTCAATGTTCAATCTTCATATATTAATTTAAGTGAAACAGAACTCTGCGATTGTAATGGTAACACTGACGATATCAATCATTGGATGTTCGGGTGTATATATATAATGATGCTGCTATTAAGTATCTATTGGAAAATCTGATAAAAAAATAAATACCTCTTCCTCAGAGTCAATCTTCTATTTTATATCTCTCTCTTGATAATATTAGGCTAAACCAAATTTTTTGGGGATATTTGAAAAGGATTAAAAGAAAAATTTAGGATGGAATGTGTAATGTGAATGTATAAATCTAGCTTTGTTCCCCCCGTCTATCCTTATATTAGAAGAGGATTTTAGAAACAGCAGAAATGAAAAATTCATGGTAAAACACTATGGGACAGAGCGGGAAGTACCGATATACGACAAAGATGTAAGGTGGAGAACATCAAGTACTGGGTAAGAAATAGAAGAGTAGAATGGGACGATCATATAAGCCGAATAACAACAACAAGAGTAGTAAAGACGGCAAGAGACGGCTCCAAAATAGAAATAGAGTCGCTATGAAAGGCAGCTTAGTGTGAAAAGTATTCCTATATTATGTAATCCCTTGTTGGTTCTAAATATTCACTTTAAGTTGGTTAGGGCCTAAATGTAACGAATGAAAGTATGGTTTCTTGTCAATCTACTGATTCTTGTGATACTGATGTTTAAATTATATTTTTAATTTACCTCTAGGCGAAGTACTATTTTGTTAACAAATGCAATAGGTCAATACATCATTAACAAATTCAAGTAGTCAAATACATTATCGTGGCTGAATGGATCGAGTTATCCAAAGCCATTAATTAAATGAAAAAAACATGAGATTCCAAAAAAAATATCGCGAGTAAAGCATTGATAGAACGCCAGGTAGAATTTTCGAGATAATTACAGGACCGTAATTACAATCATCTAATATCACTTCTTTCTTTTAGGTTGTTCGCCCCTAACAGTACCTAAATGGACCAGGTCGGTGGATTCTGTCCTTCAAGGACACAATCTAGGTAGACTACCTTCGACTTACTTCGACCGTTAATACAGTAACATAACAATATGCTTTAATTTATGACTTGCTTAGATGTTTATATAAATGCAAAAGCAATACAGAAAGACTCACATTTCACACAAGTTATTTTAATTACAGTGTAGTAGAAAAATCCAAATAAGAAAGAAAAATCTAAAACCAAAACCACACAACACACAAAACAATATTAGCCTTACACGCAGTACTTGTTAGGTGTCTACGATTCTGACCCCCTTATAGTCTTGTGATTTACGGTCTAATATTTTTGCAACCTTCAATAAGTTTGGATTTTGTTCAAATTATTCCACCTTATTTTCGTGGTTTATGGCATAACCACCCATATTGTGTTTTGCATGTGCTAGTTTTCTGTCCATTGTTATTAATTCGTTTATACATACAGTCCCTTTAAACATGGTAGTATTTTATGATCTTATTCACTTGTAGTAGCAACTTTTCTTCCCTTTTTCTATGGTCAACTAATATAATTGCCATAGTAGTTTTAATATTTTTGTTAGACCAGTTTCCACCTTTTTGTTTCTATTATTGGAGCAATTTTATTTAGTTGAATAAGTTGAATTTATCCCGACTATAACTAAGTTATCTTTATTTACACTGTAATTTCTTTATTTTCAATATAACCTAAGTATTTTATATAGGATATCCGAGTCCAATAGCAGTTCTCTTCTTCTTCTTCTTCTTCACCCTTCCATCTGTTATCCTTCAGTCGGGCATTGTGTCCTGCGAAGCTCCATTTTAATTTGGCAGCATGTTCTCTATCAGGAGAGCATTTCTCTTATTTTTGATTAATTTTTTTAACTATTACCCAATGTGTTGTGGTTCATCATTGAACTTCGGCAGCTTAGACACTTTCTTCCTTGGTCTCGGTCAACTGTTATATGTGCCGTCTCAGTACACTATTTGTTGAGAAGTTTTTTGTAAAGTCTATCATCGCCCTGCGAGATTTACCGAGTTCGTACTGACTGGCTTGGACCAACAATCGCTACATGTTGTGATCGTTTCGACGGATATGACCAAATAACTGTAAAATTATAGAGTAAACTGTACTAGAAAGACGTTGATTGACGTTGAAAGACTATGCACATACATTGTTCTGTTCTATTATCATCCAAGTCTCACAGGCATAGTAAAATATGGAAACACCAGAGTTAAAACGAGCCTTTTCTTGTTTGTCATAGTAATGTGATCATCACCGCCAGACCTCGTTTAGTGAAGTCAATGCCGTTCTTGCAATCTGTATCTTAGAATTTCGGGTTTGTGTTGTTTCATTTTCACAACTGCCTATGTTAACATGAGCTTCAAAATATATCCTGTGGACACTACCTCGCATCCCGCGATAGTTCGGGTCTCAGAAAAATATTATTGGCGTTTAATAACCGTGATTTTGGTTTTGTTGTAGTTAACCATTAGTCCAAACTTAGTACTTTCTACTTCGAGCTTTTTTTTTAAGAAATTAGTGATTTTTTCTAGAGAAAATGTTAGTAGTCATCTGCGAAACGTAAGTTAGATACCTTGACACCGTCTAAATTTCTCCTTCTTCTTCTTATGATGCCTATCCGTTACGGATGTTGGACACTAACATGGCTATCCTGACTTTGTTGACTGCTGCCCTGAAAAGTCCGGTAGGGGTTAAGTTAAACCATTTTCGCAGGTTATGCAGCCATGATATTCTTCTTCGTCCTGGACCTCTTTTCCCATGCACTTTACCTTGAAGTATGGTCCGAAGTAGGTCATATCGTTGTTCATTGCGCATTATATGGACCAGTTATTCAAGTTTGCGACGTTTTATGGTTACGCCTAGTTTGCGCTCTTTACCCATTCTATGTAGTACTTCTTCGTTGGTAACTATGTCTATCCAGGAAATCCTCCACATGCGTCTATAGCACCACATCTCAAATGCTTCGAGTCTCTTCAGTGATGCTTCAGTTAAGGTCCATGACTCCACGCCACATAAAAGGACGGAGAATACGTAGCATTTTAGTAAGCGATCTTTTATTTCCAATTTTATATCGTGGTTGTTAAAGATTTTTTTTATTTTGACGAAAGCTGATCTTGCCTTTTCGATCCTTATCTTAATTTCCGTCGATTGGTCCCACTATTCATTTAAGTTTGCACCCAGATAACAAAAGTTGGTGATTTGTGTTATAGGTTGTTGGTTAACTAGTAATTGACCAGGCCTATTTTTGCTTATAACCATGTATTTGGTTTTTTTGATGTTAAAATCAAGCCTAAACCTGCTACTTACTTCTGCCATCCTGGAGACAAGTGTCTGCAGACCTTCAAGACTGTCTGCAAAAATGACAGTATCATCAGTGCATCATATGTTGTTCAATCGTTCTCCGTTTATAAGTATTACCTCGTCTGTGTTCGTTAGCGCTAGGTTCATAATGTGCTCTGAATATGTATTGAACAATAATGGGGACAATATACATCCCTATCGCACACCTCTTTTTATCTTTATGTCGTTTGTTAACTGATCCCCAACTCTAACAGCTGCAGTTTTTTCGTAATAGATACTGTTTATTATACGGCGATCTCTGCTGTCTAGACTTACTCCCTCTCAACCATCCAAAACCTTGCGCATTATAAATTCTGTATATGTGTTAAATAATATGGGGGATAAAACGCATTCTTGGTGTACTCCCTCCAAAAATGCATTCATTAGATAGGCATCCGTCCGTCGAATGTATGCCAGGTTATCTTGATAAAGTTTGCTAATAAAGTGAGTCAAGTGTTCAGGTAAACCCTTTGTTGTCAGTATGTTCCACAGTTTGTCCCATCTAACATTGTCAAAGGTCTTAGTATAATCGACAAAACATATCAATATCGGGACCTGACATTCTCTGGCTTTTTCTATGATGGTACCTCTGCCCTTCACAAACCATCAAAGTTATCCACTTACCGTTATACCAACACTGGTTTCTTATAAAAGCATAGCGGAATTGATTTATTTAGATCTAGTCAGTTTACAAATGTCCAATGCCCACCTGAGTTAGTAACTCAAAAGATTTCAGTAACTAGACTGTAAGATCTTATTTTTAAGGAAGAGAGGTGGCAGAGAAAACGCTCTTTGATCAATTCTTCTTCTTGTTGAATTCAATATCCTTTACTTGTCCTTTTTTATCATATCTATAGCAGTATCTTCAATGAAGCTTTTTTCAATATAAAATTTATTAGTTTTAGAACCATATAAATTTATATGAAACTTAAAATAACCAAAAGCTTTTGGCAGTTTAATAAAGGCTGTCATATTTAGTTTTCCTGCCATAGTTCAAGAACTCAATATCCAACCTTACTTACTAGTTGGTCCAGACGTATCATAATGTATTGGAGGAATTTTCCACCTGTGAAGAACTTAAAATATGCACTAATCAACAATATGATCCAGTTATAAAAATTTTTGATAACATGAATGATGATCATAATGAGAGTTTAAGCCATGTAGTAGGTAAAAAGTACAAATATGTACAAAGATATACAGAGTGGACAAAAAGGTCTGGAAACACCTAATTATGTCTTAAATTGTACAAAAATCGTCTATTCTGTAATATGGAGATTTCAAATTTGATGCTTGCTTGATATCATTAGTCACTTTGGTTTTTTCAATACAACACTCTGTATATTAATTAATATTGGAATCCTCACTTCAATAAGAGTTTAATTAAATGAAAAATTTGAATGAAGCAATAAATTCTACTTTTATTTTAAATAATATGAATAAGCTGGTTTCCGATTTCTTGGTGGCAAGTTTAGGGTATAGAGACAGACAGTTAGGCAACACAATTTTTATTAAGCTCCTGTTAGGTCCTTAATAAAAAATAAATGTGGATGAATTCTCGTTTATTCCTTAGTTTTTAGTACAGTATACTCCCTCTATAACGACCACGATTATTACGAGGTTTCGCTTATAACGAGGTAAATTAGATGTCCCGTAAAATTTCTATTGGACTATAACCCTCTATAGCGAGGCAAATTTGGTTATAACGAGAAAAAATAAGATCGAAAAACGTGTTTTTTGCCTTTTTGACTCGAAAGTAAACAACTCCTTTTCGTTTTAACATATTTCATTGACAATAAAAGTAAACAACTTTTTTCAAAAACGCCATTCAAACAATATTTATTAGCATCTTATATTGCTCCGAATGGCTTCATTATACAAAGTTAATGTTTTAGAAAACTACACATTGTTGTCTGATATAACGAGATCGGCTTATTACGATGTAATTAGTCTGCCATTTCAGTTCTTGTTATAGAGGGAGCCTACAGTATTCTTCAGTACTTACAAAGAAAGATAGAAAGACAAAAAAGAGTTCCTTAAGACCAATCAGTCCAGAGATCATATCATTAAATTGGCAATTGTTTCATATAGTTCTATTTGCTTAGCAATGACATAGTAATAAGTGAGAAGGATAATGATAAATTTGTAGATAACAAATACATTTGTATATAAAAAATGAACAATGAATTGTTCTGACAATAGACAACACATAAGAATGCTAAGTAGTGTTTATAAGGTTTTATTATAGGGTAATACAACAGAACTTACTACAACTGTTTAGTTTTACTATAATCTTTAAAGCTAAGGCTTTGTAAAATACACTTTGAAATAAATTTCAAATAGCCACCCATAAAAAAGAAAAGTTAATGTTTGAAAAGTTTGTGCTATTCACATCACTTTTTCCGATATACTAAATTGCAGCAATATTGAAAGAGCTAAATTAACCAAGTTAAGAAAATTAAACCAATTAAAGATGATGACTAAAATCTTAATTGATTATTCAGATTAATATGTATATCCTTGAAAATGTTCACACAATACTTAAGTAAATACTTCAAAATATCAACTAAATAAATAGAATTAAAACATTACTGACAGTGTATTAAATTAGATGAAAATACTCAAAATTGTTTGGAAGGAAATTAAACATAATTTTTAAAGTTAATTATCCACAGTTTTCAGCAAATATGGAAAAACAAACACATTCTTGTCATATCACAACAGTAAAGGTGTACAATCATTGAAAACATATAAACATCATTGGGCACAAATTGGATCTAGGAAAGTCTTAAGAAAGTTAATACAAGGACTGTAGGAGGGAGAGTCATTGTTTTTATGACAATTAGGTGAAAATTAGCTCAGATTAGCTGTTTACAGTTGAACAAAAAAGCCAAAAACTTATTGCAAACTTAGGCAGGTTAATAATTTTGTAATAATTAATGAAATCATAAAATTTTCCCAGGATGTGAGTTTTTATTTCTTTAAATGGGCTTGATGGGTCTAGTCGTTTTTGCTAAAATTTAACTATTTTTAAGGATTTTATATATACAGTAGAACCTCGATTATCCGTCTCTCTGTTAACCGTCAGGGTCCATACATAAGTTATATTGACTACTATTGTTCTTATTCATAGCTCTGGATTAAATTTTAATTTAAATAGGTGATGATAAATGATACCGTGCTTTTAGAGTTCTATTTTTATAATCGCAAGCCGAAAATAAAAACGCACACTACAATAATTATTATGGTCAATATCTGTGTGTCACCATAATTCAGTTTGAATCAAATTCAACATTGATTATGTCACTTAGTCGTTTGATCAATTAAGTTTTGAAAAATGAAGCCTTCCACATCTGGAGCATCAAAAAGAAAACGTGTTGTTTTGTCAGTTGAAAGAAAAAACAGAAATTATTGCAAAAAAAAGTGTTTCTGCTGTCGCATTGAGCAAAAGTGTGATGGTCCAAGAACAAAAATCAATGATTTAAAGAAAAATACTGAAGGAATTTAAAAGTATGCTTCGCAAATGAAATCGTTGGATGGCTGGGTGAAACATCGTAAGACAATGAAAAAAGCCACAAATGAATCACTCGACACGGCTCTGTATTTGTGGTTCTTTCAAAAAAGAAGCGAAGGTGTTCCTTTGTCTGGACCGATTGTTGCCGAGTTGTTGTTTTTCAACATGAAATTGAAGGTGATTCATTCAAAGGAAGCAGCGGTTGGTTGGAAAAGTTCAAAAATCGCCACGATAAATGGGAACTGAAAATCTAAGGTGAAAAATTGAGCGCCGCAAGTGTTAAAGTCGTTGACAAATATAAAAGAAACGTTTCAAGCTATGATGAATGAATATGGTTTGACACGCGATCAAGTGTTCAATGCGGATGAAACTGGTTTAAACTACAAAGCATTGCCAACGAAAATACTTGCTGCACTGTCTGAAAAATATGCACATGGATTTAAAACGCAAAAGCAACGAATCACAGCAATGATGTGTTTAAATACAAGTGATATGATCATCGCCTTCTTTTATTATTGATTGGTACAGCAAAAAAAAACAAGTTGTTTTAAGGACATAAATATAAACGCGTTTTCCGATAACTTATACGCACAACATAATGCATGCATTGTTTTTTTAGGTTTTTATACCGGACGTTCGACAATACTTGCAAGCAAAAAATTTGCTACCAAAGGCGAATCTCATTTTGGACAATGCACCTGCCCATCCTGAAGCCGGTATGGTGCGAAGTGTCGATGGAAATATCACATGCTCTTTTCTGCCTGCGAATACATCATTGGTACAGCAAATGGATCAATCGGTCATTGAAACATTCAAAAGAAGATACAGAAAAACGTTTATTCAAAATCTAGTTACGGAAGAGGAATATTCTTTGCCAGAATACTGGAAAGCATACAATTTAAAACACACAGTCGACAATGCTGTGGATTCTTGGGCTGATGTTTCGAAAGTAACGCTGAAAAGAGCGTGGAATAAATTAGGGCCTGAATCAACTCAAGATGAAAATGCCCCGTGACAGCCGAGCGTGATGCGGTAACAAATGAAGTTATGGCTGAATCAACTGTTGTGTTTTCGTTGCCTAAAGATGACATAAACGAATGGTTAATTTGTGATGAGGACGCAAACGGCTATCGATTGCTGACAGATGATGAAATCGTTGAAATGGCAACAAAGGCGGACGAAACTGATTCAGAAGCTGACACAGACTTTGACAGTGGCGATGTTGATGATGCTATTGCAACTCACAAAGATTTGCGTAAAGAAGCTAGAGAAGCTGCATCGCACATACAACAATTCATCGAGTGGTATTCTCGGCAAGAAGAAGCAAATAAGGTAGATTTGATGATTTTATGTCGATTAAGAAATTCAGCCATTGCAAAATGTGATGTAACAATAAAACAAAACAAAGATTCCGGAATATTTTAAATCAAATTGATTCGACTGTACTAACATAAATCCCTCTTATATTGCCAAATAAAACATACAAATAAAATTTGAGAGTTATACTATGATTTTTTTTTATGTTTATGTTCTGTTAACCGTCTTTTCAATTATCCGTCATACCCCTGGTCCGGTGCCCTGACAGATAATCGAGGTTCCACTGTAAAAGAAAAGATTATTATCTAATGGTTGTCTGAGGATAAGGAATGACTAAAACATCTGTGTAGATCTCATTTTCTTCATACGGCCTTCAAGTATTTTAGAATCTCTGTCTTATTAGTAAAAAAAGTTTTATCATTTAAAAATATATGTTTCTAACGGCATAATGTTCGTGGGTTCAAAACAACAGAGGCATTTTAATTGCTTATAAGCGAACAATTTGTTATTTATAAAATAATAATAGTCATTGATTAATACAATTTTAAAAAACTTAATTTGTTGAAGCTATAGTATGCTTAAAGGTCATCTGGAGAAAATAAACCATAATGAATGTTTTAGTTGTTACTCAGATCTAGGATATCCATTTGAGAATGGCTTTTTTTATATAAAACTAGTGATTTTGCCAGTCACTAGTCCGAATCAATTGCCATCTACAGTTACTCAATTCTTTCTGACCTCCTCCTACTTTATCATATATCCCTCAAATGTTTCTGACTACCTCCAATTTGTCAGGTTTTCCTCTCATTTTTCCTAACTTTCTCTAATTTATCTAATAAACAGGAGTAAATTCCTCATATTCTTCCTCATTACGGGAGTAAACCAAATCATAGGACAGGGATGGCCAACCCGCGGCACGCGTGCCAGGCACGATTGAGTCCTATCAGTCCTATCAAAAAAATTAAAACGAAAATACGAAGATGATATTGCAATTCGCGATTTTCAACCTGCTTGGGAAGAACAATTTTTATTTACTAATCGTAATACTTCAAAGCCTGTTTGTTTGATATGTGGATTGTCTGTAGCAGTTCCGAAAAAATTTAACCTGGAACGACATTATAAACAACTGCATAAGGACTTCAGCAACAAATATCCTATTGGTTCACATTTGCGAGCCGACTTTATTGAAAAAAAAAAGAAAACCCTAGCCAGCCAACAGTCACTGTTTCAGAAGAGAAGTGATGAAATGGAAACTATGGTTAAAACATCATATGAACTTTCTCTGCTGTTAGCCCGGAAGAAAAAAGCCTACTCTGATGGAGAGGAGATAATTAAAAATAGTCTGGCAATATTTGCTAAAAATGTGGGAGATGTAAAGATCAAAAATATGGTCGATAATATTGCATTATCCCGAAATACAGTCATGCGCCGTATAGATGATATGGGCCAGGATGTTGTTTCCCAAATTATAAGTGGATTACAATCCTGCAAATTCTTTTCTTTAGCGTTGGATGAAAGTTGTGACAACACAGAAAATGCGCAGTTAAGCATTTTTGTCCGTTATACCAATGATAATTTTGAAAATGCCGAAGAGCTTCTGGATTTGCGCCAACTAGTCACAACAACAGGAGAGGACATTTTTCAACAGCTTAAAAACGTAATCGAAGTCAACAAAGTTGAATGGTCAAAATTAGATAGTGTTTGTACAGATGGAGCTCCTTGCATGGTTGGTAGACTAAAGGGGTTTGTTACATTACTGGAAAACTATTTGGGAAGAAAAGTTTTTAAGTACCATTGTATTATTCACCAGGAAGCTCTTTGTGCCAAGGACCTAAACATGTCATCTGTTGTTGACCCTGTAACACGCTGCATTAACAAAATACGAGCTCGGGCATTGAATCGACGACAATTTCGAGAACTGTTCGCGGAAGAAACGGAGCAAGATGGAGAGTTACTTCTCCATTGCAGTGTGCGCTGGCTCTCCAAAGGAAATGCACTCGAAAGGTTTTGGAACTTGAAGGAGTGCGTCTTAAAATATTTGCAAGAAAACAATGAACTACCCAGTGAGTGCTCGTTACTTAATGATAAAGATTGGCTTTGGGATTTAGCTTTTCTCACTGATATTATGAGACATTTAAATCTATTAAATTTAAGATTACAGGGAAAAAATTGTATTTTTCCTACTCTAGTTGGTCATATATCTTCTTTTGTGAATAAACTTATGCTTTTTTGTAACGATTTTGGAGAACAGAGATTGACACATTTCACATTAATGCAGGAATTAGCCAACAAGGTCAGTAGAACTCCAAATTATGATAGATTTAAAAACCTTACAAGGAAATAAGTAAATTTGTAAGTCCTTATTTGTACTTACAGAAATTATGACAGATTTAAAAACCTTACAAATAAGGAACTTGTATTTACAAATAAATACAAGTTCAAATACCACATTAAATAAGTAACTGTTTAATAATTTGAATTTTAGATAATAAGAAAATATTTAAGTTTTTTTGGTTAACGTTTTTATTTTATTTTTATTACCAATAAAGTAAGTTTGTTGTTGTGTTTTACTTATTACGTTATTTTTTAAACCTCCACTATCTTGACTAAACGGAAAAATGTGGAATTTACATAAGAAATACATATTGTACCGTATATTATTAATATATAGTATCCATATTAGTATGTCGAAAAAATTTAGTGGCACGCCAATTTTTTTTTTGTTCTCATTTTGGCACTCGACTTAAAAAGGTTGGCCACCCCTGTCATAGGAGTAAATAAATTCACTGGAGAAAACTCATTCACAGGAGTAAACTCATTCACAGCAGTAAACCCACTCACAGGAGCAAGTTCGTTGTACTTTATATGTAGCATGTGTGAAATGCAGATCATATGCAAGAATAAAACAAACATGGGAAATAAAAATTACTTCAAATCATTGATTTATTCATTTGTGACAACTCATTTAAATTTCAGAATAATTTATTAAATAATTTTGCATACAACTTTACAAAACTTTTTAGTAAAAACTCTATTGCTTCCTTGAATTAATTTTCCTTGTGACAGTGTATCCAAAGTTTCACACTTTAGTTTGACTTTATTTTGAAAATTTTAGGATTAACAAAATTTTTGTTAAAATAATAAACTTCTTGCACGTAAAGTAAGTATATATAAAGTAACATACAGCTTTAAAGTATGCTTGACAAATCTTACCTTAAAATTACAGTAACCAATCATTTTGGCATTTTTGCGAAAAAACTAATTTCTGATAAAGTTGTAAAATTGCTGAGTAAGGATATTTGAATCAACAATTTGTAAAATGAATTAGCAATAAATCAACTGTATTGTCTTAAGAACAAAATATTATAAATAGATTGATTAAGACTCAATAAGTTGAAATGTCAGTTGGTAGTTTGGATTTCCTTCCTAGTGGCACTAGGAGTTATCATCCCAGACAAACATTTCACTGGATCTACACAACTTGTTGTATCACAATGAAACTCTCGATTTATGTCAACAAAATACTGAGGTTACGTTTGTCAGGTTTTATTAGTGGCTATAAAACTAAAACTAAAAAGACAAACTTCTATAGCACATATTTTTCTCAAAATATTGTAAAGAAAAAAGAATTATCATTTTTTCACCCCATTGTCGAAAAACAATGATACACCCAAATTTTTAGAATGCTATAAGTACTACTAGATTTTAGGAAATACCAAAACAAATTAATATTCTAGATATTACTGTTTTTTTTTTCATGGAAACTGTCTGTTGTAAACCAGTTGTACTTCAGCCAGTTAGTTTATTGCACATCTTCCATTTCTTGATGATATCCATTCCAGAACTCTGATACTCTATTCCTAGTGGATGGGTACCATATGTTTTTATAGTTACTTGATAGGTCCAAAAAGTGTTTGTCACCTGCACAGCCTCACAGTTATGCAAGACCTGCTTGATTGTTTCAAGTTATCTACTACAGAGTCTGTAGCTTAAGTCTCAATGAAACAGTCCATGTAAATTTGAGTACTGGTTTTGATTCCATAACATATTTTAATCAAAATCTTATAAAATTTACATACAAGGTTAAAAAATGCAGATATTTTATTACTAAAACTGATCAAAAATGAAGAAAGAATATTAATAATCTTTCCATATCAAAATAATTTTAATATCTACAATTCACCCCATACTATAGTTTTATAGAAAGAAATATATTAGAAAGAAAATTAATGAGGTCAACATTGTATGGAAATAGTAATGTGGGAGAGACACATATTAGTAACAAAATAATATAGAAGGCAATTGAAGAATATAAGACACTGAATTATAAAAAGTGTCCTATTTAAACCAAATTTATAAATATATGTTCTAATATTTGCATTTTGTTTAACTGATGTGCAGATTAAAACAGTTTGTGTGTGCTAAATATAAATTATTTAGACAATCCTTATAAAACTGAATATCAACAGTGGGCATTTAGTTTGTTTTCAATTAGTATGATCTGTTTGATAAGCATAATGAAAAAATGATTGTTCTATTCAATTCATGTACTTACATTTTTTTCCCCAATACTTTGGACAAATTGCTTTCATACTCCACATTATCTGGCTTATCAGATGCATCTTTTTCCAATTTCTCATTAAGCAGTTCTATCTTTTCATGTACTAAAAAATATTTCAATTTTAGGAAGAAAACATTTTTATATCAATTGTGAGTAATCATCTGGACATAATTTATTAGACTTGGTGTCAAAGATACAAATAAATATATCTCAAAATTGACTATTTACTATTTAAATTGAAAAACCAATATAGTAAACATCTATTCATAAATATAACAAAATAATGTGATCTTTGTAAAAATATTAGTCCAATAACTTACAAGTTTGATTCTCTTGATATAGCAAATCAAACTCTTTTTCTATTTGTCTAAATAAATTGTATAAACGACTTTTATATGGAGGATTAAGTGATTCATTTTCGATGTCTGAACGAAATCCTGTAAAAATTTCAGAGTCGATTAAGCCGCTCGAAGGCCGAGCCATTTGTGCTCTCTTGCTCTTCGATAACTTATTGTTCGGTGTTCTTTGATTGACTGACATTGTAACTTATATCCGATTCGACTTATAACATTATCAATTATTCAATAGTTCGATAAATTCAATGATATAGTATTGTTTACATGTTACTAAAATTATTTTTGTTGTTAAAAATACACGTTCCGTCGGCCTTTATTTGTCAAAATTTGACACTGACGTTTATTACTAACCATAAATAAACTGTCATAAACCCTATAATTATTTTTCCTCGCTAGTTAGCAAAGTATGTAAAAGACCGAAACAGTCTTTAACTATAAAACTAAACAACTATTGATTTTTAAATAAATATGTTATTTTTTAAGAAAACAATTATTATAACAACATACATTGTTTTCCATGTTCTTAATATGTAAATAAATAGTTTGGAAAATTTGATTTTCCATTAACTTTTTAGATACAAATGTAATTAATTATTTTTCTTCTTTTACAACCATTATGTTTAGACAGTAGTAAAGGAGGTTAGATTGTCTAACCTGTAACCTGTTGTCTGTTAATTTGTCTATTTTGCCGCCTATATTCTAAATACATAAACAGAAATAAAACAGAAAAAGGAGCGTACAAAATGAATAAAAGAAAAGATAGTTCACCACAAAAGGCATCTAAAAAATTAAGGTATGTAAAAATAAAATCATAAATTGGAATATTGATTATTATTTTCAATACTCTTCTTAATTATACTGCCCAATCTGCTCTAATCTTGAATGTTTTTCAGGGCAAATTTTATTTTTATAATAACTTCTTAAAGTAATATTCTCAATTGTTTAGCAAAACACTGGTAATCTGAGTGTGCAATCTCATAAAATCCTTCGAAACCAATTATTTCTATTCTTGTATAGAATTTTGAATGGAAAATCAAAAATTGATTGTAATTATGTTCTTAAACATCTAATCTTTAATAGGTACCTACATTTTCACAGTCGAAAACAGTTGTACCTTGAAGCTTGTAATATTTAAATTTTTTCATACTAGCATACATTTACTTAGTGGATCATAACTTTTGATTTAATAGTGTATCTCAACATAATTTGTATTGTAAATGGCATATTACAAAGAAATAAATATTCATTTGTTATTTGTCCAACTCCATGACTATATTAAACAGAACTCTTAGCCAACTTGTACTTATTCATGCTTCTAAAGTGTCATACTTCTCGAGGTTTATTTTTTGGTTGAACTACTTCTCTTATTTTGGTCATCATTTATGTTACATGTTTTGGGCCAAACTTTTTGTTTAAAATGCTATCAAACTGTTTCTTCCAGTATATTTTTATACCCTTTTCCATGCTCTAATATTTTATTATGTTATTCTTGTATAAATCTGACCATATTTATATTATTTTTTATATTTAGCTAACATATTTATATATTTTCTTATTGTTTCTCCTTTAGCTTTATTTATAATAATATTGTAGTATTACTTTACATGTTTTTGAACATTCCTTATATAGTATTTTCCATTTTTCAGAACTGACACTTTTTTAAGACCTCCATTACCTGCTATAAACAGTAAAAATGATACATTAATATTTCAAGAATTGGAGCTAGATTTTTATCTGGGTCAGGTATACCCTGGTATGCCCGGCCCTCAAACTGGTACAGTACCTATTATTCGCTTATTTGGAGTTACTAAAAATGGAAATAGTGTTTGTTGTCATGTCCATGGATTCTCTCCATACTTTTATGTTAACATGCCTGACAATTTTTCACCCAGTGAATTACATGCATTTAAGAATAAGTTGAATGATGCCGTTTTAGCTGATTCTACTACTGCAAAAGGTTTGTACAAGTTACTTCTAAAATTGTGTACACAAATTTTCACTTTATAGCTTTTTAACTACATGATCTATTACATAGATTTAATTTGTTTTTGGTTAGTTTGTTTTGAAAATAAATTAATTTATTATGCTTTATTATTTTCAGGAATTACATCTGAAGCAGTTTTAATGATAGAACTGGTCCAAGGAAAATCCTTAGTAGAATTTACAGGATATGAAGATCAAACATTTGCAAAAATTACTGTAGCTCTTCCAAGAATGGTAGCAGCAGCAAAAAGATTAATTACCACAACAGCTGTCTATCAACCTTTAGCTACACATGCCTTTCATGCTTTTGAATCAAATGTTGATTATGAAACTAGATTTATGGTAGACACAAATATTTTAGGTTGCTGTTGGATAGAACTACCAGTAGGGAAGTGGTTTGAAAGGCCTATTCCAGACTTTAAAAAAGTATCAAGATGCCAAATAGAAGTGGATGTGTCTTGGAACGATTTTATTGTTCATGCACCAGAAGGGGAATGGTCTTCTGTAGCCAAATTCAGAGTACATAGTTTAGATATAGAATGTGCTGGTAGAAAAGGTATTTTCCCTGAACCTAATGTAGATCCCATCATACAGATAGCCAATACAGTGGGTTATCATGGAGAAAAGGATGTTGTTTATAGAAACATATTTACATTAAAATCTTGTGCTGCTATTGGTCATGCTGATGTCTACAGTTTTGACACTGAAGAAGAAATGTTGCAAGAATGGGCAAACTTTGTAAGGGCATTAGATCCTGATGTTTTTACTGGATATAATATTAACAATTTTGACTTTCCATATCTTATAGATCGAGCAAAGCATCTGAAATTAAAAGGATTTAACTACTTGGGTCGTCTTTTAGATGTACAATCTGTGATTAAGGAAACAGTTACACAAACCAAAATAGGCAAAAGAACTTACAAATCAATAAACTTTGAGGGGCGAGTACCATATGACATGCTTTTGGTGGTAAAAAGAGATTTTAAATTAAGATCTTACACATTAAATAGTGTTTGTCAAGAAATTTTAGGAGAACAAAAAGAAGATGTGCATTACAGTATAATTACAGATCTTCAAAATGGTGATGAACAAACTCGAAGGAGATTAGCTGTATATTGCTTGAAAGATGCAGAACTTCCCTGGAGGTTGTTAAACACAATATTAAGTTTTACCAATGATATAGAAATGGCAAGGGTAACAGGAGTTCCTATAACAAGTTTGTTAACAAAAGGAGAACAAGTAAAAGTAGTGGCTCAACTGTTAAGACATTCCAGGCAAGCAGGATATTTCATGCCCACACATCAAGGAGCTCCAGGACAAGATCAATACGAAGGAGCAACTGTTATAGAACCTATCAGGGGCTATTATACTGAACCAATTGCAACACTTGATTTCAGTTCTCTATATCCCAGTATTATGATAGCCCATAACCTATGTTATACTTCCTTGCTTAGGAAACCAATGAAAGAAAAGCTTGGCTTAACAGATGATCAAGTAACATCCACTCCTGCAAATTGTATGTTTGTGAAATCCTCAGTGAGACCTGGATTATTACCTCACATTTTACAACACTTATTAGCTGCAAGAAAGAAAACCAAAGCTCTTCTGAAGGATGAGAAGGATCCTGTAGTAAGAACTGTTTTAAATGGAAGGCAATTGGCTTACAAAATTTCAGCAAACTCAGTATATGGATTTACTGGTGCACAAGTAGGCAAACTACCCTGCTTAGAAATTTCAGGTAGTGTAACAGCTTATGGTAGAACTATGATAGAACAAACAAAACAGGAGGTTGAGCAACATTATAGGGTTGAAAATGGGTATGACTCTGATGCTAAAGTAATTTATGGGGATACTGATTCAGTAATGGTTAACTTTAAAGCTAACACTCTAGAGAAAAGTATGGAATTGGGCCAGGAAGCTGCAGAGTTGGTGAGCAAGAAATTTATATCACCTATTAAACTTGAATTTGAAAAGGTTTACTTCCCATATCTACTCATCAACAAAAAAAGGTAAATAAATTATAACTAAAATTTGAAAACCATTGTTTATTAAATTTCCTGAACATATTTGATAAGGTCTTGACAGCAAATGCCTTTATAAAAGCCTTTATTTAAACATTTACAGAAATTTTTACAAATACAGAGTAACATATACAAATGTAGTTAAGAATTTATCTTGAGGCTTGTTTTTAAAGTCATAACTTTTTTGAATATTAAAAAAAAAACAAGATAACACTATTTAATTCTTCACCTGATTTCCACCAATATTAAAGTATTTATCATATTGAACAGCATGCTTTTGTATTATGTAGACATAGAAATTGTGGCCTGATTTGACAGCTACTACAATATAGCATACTACAATAATATACTAATATACAATAATAATAATTATACTAATATACTACAATATAATGCTGATCTCCAAGATGACTCTTAAGTTGCAGGAATAAGTGGTTGTCACTGAATCCTAGATCAGTGCTGCATTGAGAATGATCAAATTATACCCATCTAAATAAAGCAATGAGTTTTTTGACTCCATATGGACAGGTATTGTCATGCAGGAAAGCAATCACTTACTGATCATGCCACACATTTTGTTTTCATATTAAACTGTGGAGTTTTTGTTTAAATCTCACAATATGTTTTGGAATATATTGTCATTGAGGGACAGAAAACCAAGTAACATAGTATACATAATTTTCCAGATTGAAATTTTCTGCTTAAACTTTATTTTCTTGGGTGATGTTTAATGTCATCATTCTGTGGATTGTGGTTTTGTTTCACATTCAGCATAGGATACCCATGTTTCATGTAACAGTTTGACCTAAATAATGGTCACTTTGTAGAAAAAAAAAACATTCAGAAGTCAAGGTGAAATAACATTATCATCATGGTGCTACAGTCCTTAAAGGCAGCTTTACCCTCTCAAGCTTTCTATACCTTTCTACTTGGTCCCTTGCTTGTATTTTCCAGTTGTAAACAGGGATCTTCTCAGCAACCTGTTAGCCTGTCTGTCCATCTCAGCTTTGGTCTACCCATGTGTCACATTCCCACTGGTTGCACTGTTAGAATCTTTTCTATCATGTTCAATTCCAGGGCCTGAGCTACATGTCCTGCCCACTGTTTTACTTGATCATAGTGGTAATATTTTTTATAATAATTGTTTATAAGTGTAGTATAAATATTTGTTTTTGTGTCTCAGTTAAAATTTTTAGTACCCATTGTAAACACAATTTCCAATAACCACCTAGTCTGTTCTTCACCATGAACATTCTTGTAGTCATATTTGTTGAAAGTTCTTTTTCATTTTTATTTAATTTTATTTAATACATAGGATAACCCCATTAACAATTTAAATTACAATATAGAATATCACAGTTAAGATTCAAAACTTAAAATTATTTATAATATAGAATCAATATCAAAAGTTTAAAAAATGAGACTAAAAATCTTACATATTAAGAAAAAAAAAACAAAACATAACAAGAACGAAATTCAACAAAACCAATATACATATCACAAAGCAAGAGATCTTTTTAACCAAAATTAAAAATATCAAAATCGAGATCATTAATAGCCCCATATGTCTCTCTATTAAATGGGTTGTAAATATCATAGGTTGTTAAAAGGAATATTAAAAACATTGTGATAACATAGTGCTTGATGGGTAACATTAAAGTTATTTTGGCTTAACAGGTTTGGGCAAACAATAAATCCGTGTATGATCTTATATACAACTATAGCACCTGACATATCATGACAGTTCTTGAGTGAGGTTAAAAAAGATGATAATTGTTGTTCAATATTGTTCTGAAAATACGGTGACCAAATAACTGAACAGTATTCCAAAATAGTTCTAACTAAGCAACAATACACTAATCTTGTTGAACCAATGAAGAAATACTTGCAATTCGTAGAAACAAAACCGAGAAGTTTAGATGCCTTTATTGAAATAGTGTTTATGTGGTCACAGAAAGAAAGTCATTGAAGAAAAGAGATTAATGTGGCATGAACATGTCAGACGAACAGACCCAAACCAATGGATAGCAAAAATAACAGAGTGGAGCCCCATAGGAAAATGCAAAAGAGATAGACCAAGAAGATCTTCCAGAGATGAGGTAGATGAAGCTATGAAAAGAAGAGGATTGGAAGACAGAATGGGAGGACAAAGAAGAATGGAGAAAATGGTTGAGAGAAGGGAGACAGCGACATCTATAGGAACCCCTTTCATATACAACCTAATATGACGAAGTCCATATATATATATATATATATATATATATATATATATATACAGTAGTCTCTCTCTATAACGATTCCCTATATAACGATAATTCCTCTATAACGATGAAAATAGTAAACGTTGGTTGGTTCGTCATAAGAACAATGTATTAATTCTTTCTCTATACCGATATCGTTCTCTCTTTATAGCGATAACTTTTTTAGCGTTCAATAGTTGATGACAAATGTGTTATTGTATTTAAAGTTCAGACTACCTGAGTCACGAATGAAAAGGTCATTGTTCAGCGGTTGTTTTGTTTTGCGTTTAAGGAATGCGGCATACACTCTTTCTTATCAGAGGGTTAAGTGACGTTTATTGTTCGGGCGGCGTAATTAACTGTTATCACACAGATGTTGTCATCTATTGACGACTTTTAATTTCCAGTTTGAGTTGCGTCTTAGTGTGCCAACAGTCAACATGTTTTCAAAAAAGCGTAAAGTGCTCTCGGTGGAGGAAAAACTATCGATAACTCGAGCAATAGAGAAAGGTGAAAAGCAATCGGATGTCGTTCGCCGGACGGGGCTGTCTCAGTCAACTGTGGCTACGATATGGAAGGACAGAAAAAAGTGGCTTAAAGCGGAGATGGAGGGCGGTAGCAGGAAGAAGTTGCGGAAACCTCAGCACGAAGATTTAGATCGCGCTATGCTTCAGTGGTTCCAGCAGCAGCGTATGAACCATATTCCACTTTCTGGGCCTGTGGTCAGGACAAAAGCTGAATTTTTTGCAACTGAACTTGGAATTGAGAATTTTAAGGCATCTGAGGGTTGGCTGAGCAAGTGGAAGATGCGGCACAAGATCAACTACGGCCAAATCAGCGGAGAGGCTCGCGATGTTAACAAAAACGTAACGGATCATTGGCTAGAAAACGTGTGGCCTGGACTGAAGGCACGATATGCGTCAGACGACATTTTCAATGCGGATGAGACTGGATTGTTTTTTAAAATGACACCCAACAGAACTTTAAAATTTAAATTGGAAAAGTGCGTTGGTGGAAAGCTCTCTAAGGAACGCATTACAGTTTTAGTAGCCGCTAACATGACAGGTTCGGTGAAGCGAAAATTGTTAGTGATAGGGAAGTCGAAAAACCCGCGTTGCTTTAAAAACATAAAAAATCTACCGGTGACATATAAAGCAAACAAGAGTGCGTGGATGACCTCGGAAATTTTTAAAGAAGCGATAAGAAAGCGGGATATCGAGCTTAAAGGGAAAAAAATTCTTTTGCTTGTAGACAATTGTCCTGCTCATCCTGTATTGCACGACCTTCAAAACATCGAACTCTGTTTTCTGCCAGCAAACACAACGAGTGTCCTTCAGCCCATGGACCAAAGTGTCATCAAGAGTTTAAAAAACCATTACAGGAGAAGACTTTTGATGGAATTGGTTGAGAATAATGGCGATCTTAAACTAAACATTCTTGACGCCATCCTAATGATTAGTAAATCCTGGGACGAGGTGACGAGTAATACAATACAACATTCCTTCAAACACGCAGGATGGCTGGAAGATCAAGGATTGGCTTATGATGAAGATGACCTGCCATTAGATGTTTGGGCCAGACAGTTTGAATTTACTATCACCTACGGACCGGAAGAGCTAACAGATTTTGAAGAAGTTGATAAAAATGTAGCTACAACATCTGGACTTTCTGACGAGGACATCCTGCAAGCAGTTCGTGTAGAAGAAGAAGAAAACAGTGACTCTGAAGTGGAAGCAGAGTCAGAACCAGCTCCGACCCCTCAGCAGGCATTGGATGCGGCAAAAGTACTGCATCGATTTTTCATCCACCAGGAAGACGATATGAGTGCTGTAGAAGATTCGATGCGTCTTCAGGACAAGGTCAGGTCAGTTCTGTGGAAAGGGAAAAGAAGACAGACCAAGGTGACAGATTTTTTTGATAATGTAGGCTAAATATATTTTACAGTAGCATTTTATTTTTTTATTGTACAGTACACATGTTTTAATTGCACAGTCATTTTTTATACTGTATTGCTTATATTATTCGTTAATAAATCTATGTGGAATACAATGTTAAGTCATTTATATTCGTTTTGATAATTTTTTTAAATTAAAATAGGTTATTTAGTACAGTATTATTAATATTACAGTACCGAATTTTGTCTCTCTCTGTATAACGATCTCTCCTTATAACGATGAAAATTCCCGGTCCCTTGCATATCGTTATAGAGAGAGATGACTGTATATATTTATATATATAATATATATATATATATATATATATATATTTATATATATATATATATATATATATACTTATATATATATATATATATATATATATATATATATATATATATATATATATATATGGACTTCGTCATATTAGGTTATATCAGAAAGCTAATTTACAACTTAAACTAAAAATTTATGACGCACCATTAATATTTGGCATTAAATAAAGGTTATTCATTTTCTTTGTGACTTTATGAGAGGGAACAACAGTTACATAGTGAACAACAGTGTAACACTGAAGCATTTGCCGAAATAGTCCCTAAAAATTTTCTACAATTGAATTAACAACAAAATATTGCGTACAATATTTTGATAGAAACTTTATCGGAGGCTTCTATGTAATCCATAAAGCACATAAGCATAGGAGTATTGAATTCACAAGTTTTTTCAATTAGCTGTCTGACATTAAGGATGTGCTCTCTTGTGCCTTTTCCTGGGACAAATCCCGATTGTTCTGATATCTGAGGTAATAGAAAAGCTTTTAGTCTTTCATGTATTACATGAAGTAGAACCTTGCTTGCATGGGATATAGGGTTACCGTTTTGTAGTTGCTGCAATCTAGCTGAGTTCCTTTTTTGAATATAGGGTTGAAAGTGGATGTTGTCCAGTCATTGGGCCACTCTCCGGTTTCCCAAATCTTTTTGCAGATCATATGCACAACATTTACTCCAACATCTCCAGTCTCTTTTAAAACTTCTACGGTGATCTGGTCTGCGCCAGGAGATTTTCTATTTTTTAACTTTTTGATTGCTTTTTCTACCTCTGACTTTAGAATGTTTGGTTCTCTCTCTTCAGTGAACTCGTGGTGATTTGCATTCTGGATATCATCTGTATATAGACTTTGACAATATTTTCTCCATACCTCCCCAATCCATTTCTCGTCATTTATAATATGCTGGTTTTGATCCATTATTGTTTGTGTGATTGGTTTAAATTCCCTGGATAGATATCAGACTTTGTTATATAGCTCATGGCCATGGGATTAATACCGGTCTGCATGTCTCTAGTTCTTCGCATTCTTCATTTATATGTTTATTTTTATCATCCCTAAATGTCTTTTAATTTCTCTATTTAACCTTCTAATTCGTTTTGTTCTGTCGTTTGATATATGAGAGATTTGATTCTCCTTCGCTCTTCGAGAAGTTGCAGCTTTCCGTTTGTCATCGAGTCTTTTCTTTTGATGATCTTTTTTTCGGTTCTGGTTCTTTCTACAGAGCTTTTCTACAGAGGTTTCTATGGTATTTCTGAAACCTTCCCACATTCCTTGTGGGTTGTCTTGTGTGTTCAACATACTAGTTTCTTTTAATGAATCTCTAAATGTTTTCAGATTTGAAATCTCCAGCCTGTTTTAATTTTGGTACGGAATTGTTCTTTTTAGCTTCATCTTGAAGCAAGTCCATAACAATTTATGATCGGATTCACATTCAGCTCTTGGTCTAGTTTTTAAGTTTGTAAAACATGTCTTCCATCTGTTTCTAATCAATATGTACTCGATTTGAATCATATATTCTCCATTTGGGCTGGTCCACGTCGATAAACGACGGGCATGATGTTTCAACATTGTGTTTATAATGGCCAAACTGTTTTCGGTTGCAAAATCTATTAAACGTTCGCCTCGGCTGTTTCTAATATCTAACACATAGTTTCCTACATTTTGGATGTTATCATTTATTGTTTCTCCTATCTTTGCGTTAAAATCGCCCATGATTATGAGTGGTTCTTTAGATGAAATATTTCTTATTGTGTCTTCAATAATGGAGTATACGTCTTCCACTTCAATGTCTAACGCGGTGATGCTAGTAAGGTTATTTTTATAAAGTCAATCATTTATCGGTTGGTAATCATACACGTATTGTGAAACATTTTTAGTCACCATAATTGCAACACCATTTCTTCCTGTGTTATTTGCTCCCAATATGTATACAACATGATCTGCCGTTCGGAAGTGTCCTTGTCCTTTCCAATGGGTAGACTGTTCCTTATTTAATATTTATTTCATATTTAATTGTTGCGGACGAACTAAACACATGCCCAACATCATCCAAGTTGTGGCGGCACGTAAAGACGTCCCAATTGGCAACTAACATTCGACTGTTTTTGCAACAAGATCAAAGTGCAATTGTGTGTTGAAGCAGTTGTTAGATATTGGAAATGGTACAGTCGCTATTGACACCTCGACTGGATTCATTTCATTGCCCAAAGATTTCTGTTACTTAACAGACTCGAAAGAGGAATGACACATTATTTAATTCTAAAGCAGTACTTTAATTCGCCGTGTCAGTTAGTTATATTATATTATTAGTGTACTTTCACTTTTTAAAAAATATTCAGTGTGCCTTAAAAAAATGAGAAAATCATGTGTTTCTTTTGAGGTTACTATAATTTTGTATAACTTTTTTTTAATATATTCTATATTAGCAGATATATTAAACTTTGATGCACTATTGCCACGCTTTGTATATGTCTGTTTAAACAATAACCTTTATATATTTTAATTCTTGTTTAACTTTTAGATATGCTGGACTTTATTGGACGAATACAGTTAAATATGACAAAATGGATTGTAAAGGTATTGAAACTGTACGCCGAGATAACTGTACACTAGTAGCAGACATTATCGGTACGTGCCTTCAAAAATTGCTGATAAATAGAGACCCAGATGGAGCTGTAAATTATGCTAAACAAGTCATATCAGATCTTTTACAAAACAATGTAGATATCTCACAGTTGGTTATTACCAAAGAATTAACTAAATCTGATTATGCAGCTAAACAAGCTCATGTCGAATTGGCTAAGAAGATTACCAAAAGAGATCCAGGAAATGCTCCAAAATTAGGGGATCGTATTCCATATGTTATAGTTGCAGGTACAAAGAATGCAAAGGCATTCGAAAAGGCCGAAGATCCTATTTATGTGTTAGAAAACAATATTCCAATCGATTCAAAGTACTACTTAGAAAATCAATTGTCCAAGCCTTTAGTAAGGATATTTCAGCCCATCTTAGGCGATAATGCTGAATCTATACTTTTGAGGGGAGAACATACAAGATCCAAAACTATGGTAACGTCGAAAGTTGGTGCTTTGTCTGCTTTTACGCAGAAAAAAGAAGTTTGTATTGGTTGCAAATCTGTGTTAACAAAAGGTTATGAACAGGAGGCTGTGTGTGCCTATTGCAAACCTAAAGAAGCTACTATTTACCAACAGGAGTTAAGTCATCACAGAATGTTGGAAAATAGATTTGCTTCTCTTTTTACAGAATGTCAGCGATGTCAAGGTTCTTTATATGAAGAGATTTTGTGTACGAGTAGGGATTGTCCTATTTTTTACATCCGAAAGAAGGTTCAAATGGAATTAGAGACAACCAAATCAAAGATTTCAAGATTTGGAGAACCTATTATTATTGAAGAAGATGAATAAAATACTTTTTATTGTGTATCTTTTTTAAATTAATATTGTTTATAGGTTTCGACATTATATTTTGTTTACTGTGTATATGTGCCTTTTTATTTTGTTATCAACATACACACACCTTTCGCTCTTATTCAGTTTCTATCTTCTCCATAATCCATCTTGTATAAGTAAGTATAAAGCAGCGACGGCTCGTGGCCTAAAAAAGTAGTGAAGACGAGGAAAACCTTGCTGGAGCCAAAAGGAGTTTTGGTACCTACGTCGCGCCCAAATCTCATTAAAAATTCGTTAAAAAAATGTAGAGTTTAGGGCTCTAATAACTTGAAAATAGTTTTTTAGGGCACTTATACTAGATGCGATTCGTTCTGCTTGCCTGGAGTATTTTAATTCTGAACCTTCGACATTTTATTGAGGGTTTTTTGGAATGGAAGAATATAGAGGAGACCTATATCCAAAATTGGATGCAAGAGGTTGCGGAATGATGATGGTGATGATACTAGAACCGAGGGTGAAGAGATACTTAAACAAAAAAAAGCAGTATTAGATAGACTAATAGACATGACTTCTCTAGTTTTTATAAATCAAGTCGATCCTTCGGCAAATTCGGCTTTTAAGGAGGCAAATCTATCAATAATATCCTCGTAGAAAAGATGCTTCTGCATCAATTCATTCAACAGTTCTTTATGAAATGCGATAACAGTCTAACTGGATAGTCTGTCTTGTGAAATAGTGTTTCTTGTAAAAGTTTTTAACCTTTTTAAGCACGAAAAACTTCTTTCTACGGAAACGCTTGTCGGTGGAATTGTCAGAATTAAACAAAACAAATTATAGGTTTCTACAACAATGTCTTTAATTGGTTGTAACTTTATAAGAAATTCTTGCAAATTCACATTTTTGTAATTTTCGTCGGCATAAAGAAGGCAGAGCTCACTTTTAAGTCTTGATGTTTAGTAAATTATGTGCCATAAAACTCGAATAAATTTTGAAAAGCGTCGGAAGGGAAGGTCAAACTGTATGACTCAAATTTTGCTGTATCTGCTAAGCTTACGAATTTTAATTTATCACAATCCTGAAAACGTATATCCATTTCCATTAAAATATGATCATATATTTCAAAAAATAATGCTCTGTATTGAGTAGTAATTGCATTCTTGCACATACCATCATCACACCTAAACCGTTTGGAAGTATTAATAACCGTCATTGTGCTTGCTTTTTCAAAAATAGAATTAAAAAATTCTTCATTTCTTTTATCACTTATTAATTGACGAATTCTCCTTATCTGGTTTAAACACAAATTAATATCTAGGGACTTTTTTTGAAGAAAATCATATAAAATATCTGTTATTTGAAAAATGTCGGTAAAAACTATTGCTAAAAACGTGAACTCAAAATCATTTAAATCTCTTAAAAACCCTTTAGCCAGCTGAACTGATTTGCGGTCTGACTCTTCAGAATTCATTATATTATCAAAAACCTCTTTTAATTTTTCCCAGTCTTTAATATTGCACTCATTAATTTTGAATTAGACGACTATCTTGTCTCTATAATTGTTGGCATACATCTAGCCGATGTAGATGCAAGAGCGTACGATCGTTTTGCTAAACTATGAAAAAACAATGGGATTCCGGTAATAGTTGCAAAAAAAATTCGACATTTTGATATTTTCTTAAAGCTCTGTTGCAAAAGAAGATTAAGTCGATGAGCTTATAATAAAGTACTCTAAACAAATAAACTTAATACTGTGACTAAGCTAAACTAATAAATACACTACATAAACTATACTATATAAAAAATATCTATATAATAGACTAAATTTCAAAATATTGTCGCTGAGAGAAATTTCCGAAAAATAGGAATACTACATACACATTAAACTAGTGAGTGAAGACGGATAGTTTATTTTTCAATTGATCTGCACTGCCCAGTTTTCTCAGCTATCACCAACGACAGGCTGACGTCACGTTGCCATGGCAACCGTGAACGCTTGTGGAGATGAAGAAAGAAATGTTGTAAAAAAGTTACTTTGGGACAATACAGGGAAATTATTAATGCATTTTTCAACCCAAAAAAGGACCAATGCAGCCTCTGTACATCCTTCTTCTTCTCGTGCCACTCCTAGCGGAGATTGGAAATCATCATGGCCACTGCGACTTTGTTAGCAGCGCGCCTGAAAAGTTCAATCGAACTACACCCGAACCATTCACGTAGATTACGAAGCCACGATATTTTTCTTCTTCCCACACTTCTTTTGCCCTGCATGATGTTTATTAAAAGTTCGTACTTTTCACCTCTCACAATGTGCCCCAAGTATTCCATCTTTCTAGTTTTTATCTCATTTAGAATTTCGCATCTTTTGTCTAAAGTTTGGAGTACTTGCGTGTTAGTGACGCGGTCCATCCATGATATTCTGAGAATGCGCCTATAGCACCACATCTCGAAGGCCTCGATGTTTTTTATGGTCAACTGTTTTAGTGCCCAAGCCTCAACTCCATATAACAGGGTAGAAAAGACATAACACCGCAGCATTCGTATTCGTAACTTTATATTGATATCACGATTGCAAAAGAGTTTGCGCATTCTATTAAAGACTGATCTAGCGATTTCTATTCTACATCTAATCTCTTTTGTTTGATTAGTATCGTCTGTGATCCAAGCACCTAGATATTTATAACAGGGCACACGTTCAATCGTTGTATTGTCTATTACAAGCTTAGCTCTGATGTTCTTTGATTTCGTGATTACCATAAATTTAGTTTTTCTCAAATTAATTTTCAAGCCGTAACTGTTACAATATATATTGAGACTTTGAACGAGATGTTGTAGTTCTACTAGCGTTCCCGTTAGGAGAACTGCATCGCCAGCATACCTTATATTGTTGATCGTCTCACCATTTATTATCAGACCAAGATCTTCTTCCTCAAGTGCTTGTTCACAGATAGCTTCACTATACAGATTAAATAAAAGTGGCGATAAGATACATCCCTGCCGGACTCCTCGACGGATTTGAATTTCTTCTGTTAGTCTGCCCTCAACCTTGACATTTGCTGTTTGATTCCAATATAGATTGCATATAATTCAAATATCTCGGCTGTCTATATTTTTCTTTATTAGAACTTGTCTTAGTGGTTCATGTTGTACTTTGTCAAAGGCCTTTTCGAAATCAATAAAGTAGGCGTAAATATCTTGGTTCATGTCTAAGCATCTCTGTGAGAGAACGTTCATTGCAAACAGAGCCTCTCTTGTACCCAGCCCTTTTCTGAATCCCATCTGAGTGTTACTGATGTCTACGTCTAATTTCCTATAGATCCTATTATGGATTATTTTTAAGAACAGTTTTAGAGCATGACTCATCAAAGCTATCGTACGATACTCGTTGCATTCCTTTGTATTTGCCTTTTTTGGCAGTAGTATAAAGGTCGAACGGAGCCATTCCCTAGGTATTATCACAGCCTATTAACTAGCAACTTCAGAAGATGAAATTAAAATAAAAGATAGGTTTAATCAACATATTTTTAATAAAATAACTACCAGAACTTTAAAGGATGCAGATAAGGAAGCGGCGATCAATGATAAATCAGTTTTTGCAGCTTGTTTCGATTTACAGAAAGTCCTCGTAACACCCTAATCTGCTGTGAGCGACTTTTATTACAAGAGAAAACTCGCCACATATAATTTCACAATTTATGATATGGGAAATAACAAAGGCTACTGTTATGCGTGGCATGAGGTAATTGCGAAAAGGCGACAAAACGAAATAAACATTTAAAATTTTTTAAAAATTTCAAAAAGAAAGTGGAGTCAAAAAGGTTATTCTTTATTCTGATAACTGGTGTACAAAACTGCAATTGTTTTATTTTTTCATTATTTTCCTATGCTTCTATGAGTCTTAATCTTCAAATAATTCATCGATTTCTAGAAACAGGGCATAAACAAAACGAAGGAGACAGCACGCATGCTGTTATTCAGAATGCCAAAAAGCGGCAATCAGCAATATATACCCCTGATCAATGGATCATGTTGATTCGCATGGAAAAAGTGTCTGGAAAGCCATACATTGTAAAAGAAATGGCACAAAGCGACTTTTTTAGTTTAAAACAAAGGGTAACATTAGAAAATTGGGATAAAGATAATGGCGGAGAAAGGCTAAGAATAAGCAAGATTAAAGAAGTATACTTTTTATCAGATATGCCTTATAAAATTAAGTTCAAATATGACTATGCCGATGAGCTGAAAATAATAACCTTAAAAAAGTCTCAAAGAAATATATTAAAAACTATAATTCTAAAGAATTGCTTCAACTTTATACAAGCTTGCTTCTAATAAATACCAAAAAATTGAATGGTTTGCTTGTAAACCCAAAGGAAAAAGTCTTCCTAGCATTCCTGAGGGTTACCAGTCATTTTACTTTTCCCTTACAGCCGATAATGGGACGAAAATACAAAAGGGACAGAATATTAAAAGTAGTAGAAATATGGAAGCAGAAATTAAGAATAATGAAGAATATGAACAAGACTCTTATTTTAGTTATTCGACTCTTATTTTAGTTATTCCGATTAGTGCTATGCCTCCGAAAACAGTACTATTTTGTTTCAATAAGTCTGTTACTAAGTCTAGAGTAAGTATTTTCCCCCTTAATTGCTTCGACGAAAACTATAGTCAGCCTACAAAATTTAGCAAAAAAATGTTTTTTGTTATATTTGATTTGTGAAATCCCTTAAAAACCGTTTATATATATATTAGAAATTTAAGACGTATTTCTTCGGAAGAGAACGTCTTTTCTAAGAGCGAACTCTTTGCGAAAAATTTCGAACGCGATTTGTACTGTGGGCTGATGATGCGGCATATGTTGTAAGCCTCGAAATCGGTAGCCTACAATTAAAAACCACCTAAGATTGTAAAAATTAACTGTCACCTATCAGTAGCGGATGTAGATATTTGCCTTTAGACCTATTTTCCTCCCCCCACTTGTATCCGCTCCTGTCTCCTATACACCAGTATTATGTATTCACATTGGCTACGTTTCTATCATGATTTGTCATTGAATGGATCTATTAAAAGTAGGGCAGTAGGTTAATCATAGTTAATCGTCGTTTATCTTAGCACATTTAATACGATTATCAGATAAGTATGTCCTCCTCAGCTTAGAACGTACAAGTGATTATAGTGAATACACGATGTATATTGTTCTGAAGCTATATTCTTGTGGCATTTTAAATTAATTGCTATTTAACTGGGAATAAGGCACAATTAAAGATAAAAATACGTTTATTGACGTTTCAATTTCCACTTCGGAAATCGTTCTCAAAATACAAACAGTAAATTAAACAAATTTTGTTTTTTGTTACATAGTGAAAAATTCTTCTAATAATTTAATTTTATCTGACTCATTTATATTGACAATTCAGACATACATTATGCATTTTAAAGTAGACGACTTTAAAATGATATTGCCAATATTGTTGAGTTGCGCTCCTGGGACGACTTTACTTATAAGATAGTTCATTCGATTACATGAAATCAACTTTAACTTGAGAATATCCGTCAGAAAAAAATCATAGCATATAATTCGTCTTTAAAAAGACAATTTGTTCGTGCAATTAGTTTACCTTCAATAAACACCAAAATTCTGATTTTATATGTTTCGTTATTTAAAAAACATAAATGATGTATCCTCTATATGTTACTGACTTACTAATACTGGTATTTTCTTATTAATAACTTCCTCTTTCAATATTGGTAACCAGATACTACTACATTCTGCCGAGGAATTTGCGACACAATTGGCCTCATTTAGCATAATTAAAGCCGCTTCTTTGATTTTTCTTTTTTTACCATCCGTCTCTTTTAGGACTACATTTGAATTATTCCATTGAACCCTATGTTCATTATCCGATACAATATATTGCCAATCTGCATCCTTTTTTCGTCCGTAATATATATGCTACCAGGTTTATCAAATAGGTTTAGTTTTTCTATGGTATCTCTCAGTTTATGAAAGAAGTCATCATGGAATATTATACATATTTTTTGGGCTCGAGCCGTATTAATTAGTTGACCTTTTCGCCTAGCTACGTCTGGATGCCTGCACAAGAATTACTTAAGCCATATTCTACCAGCTTTATTTGACATTTTAGAAAACGGATTTGACATATTATTTGTTGCAGCGTAAAAAAACATACTTTTCATTAGAATTTTGCTTGTAATAGGCATACCTACCTACTTCAACTAATGTGTAAATTCTTTCGACAAGATTATTTTCTTGTGTTGAAGACAACACCGGTGATCTTCCAAGCTTTCTTACGGGATTATGTGTTCTGTGATAAAGACCTAAAGCGATGAGCGAGGAATGTTTAATACTTGGTAGCCCCTTTGATTGACATTTCATTCGCTATGATATGCAGCGCCGAGCGTAGATCTTCTGATCACTTAGCTCGTTTTCTTGGCATGTTGCAAAAGAGTTTAATAATATCTATTTAGTCTCTAATATTGTCACTGGCAATATTCGGAATTATTAGTAATGGTAATATTAGGAACAAATGACGTTCAGAAAAAATATCCGTACGTTAAAATTTCATTTAAATTAATTCATGCAGTTCATAAAATAATAACTACTGGAGTGTACTGACCTAAACTTAATTCCAAAATTCCAAAAATTTTAATATATCTTGCGTAGGGTCAACGGGAAAAGCAAATTAATTTAAAACGAGGACACGAAAAACAAATAGCGAGCAATAGTAATTAAATCTTATCTCTGTCGTTGGTCCGGTGAGTGTTTCTCTTCTTTCTTTTTAATGACTGCTCGGATGTAGTTGTGAACACTATTCCATCCCTCCGTACTTCCCGTCATCTCTCTCTACAGTTACAGGGTTCATACATATTTCTTTATACATTCTGTTTCTCTCCACTGTACATCTATTACACTCCAGTATTGTGTGAGTAACAATGTCGGAATATTCGCAGTATAGGCATTTATCTGTATCCGTCTTTCTGAACCTATGAAAATACGCCCTAAAACAGACAATCTACCCAGTCCCTTAGTCTCGGGATCAGCATCTTGGTCCACTAGGCAACATCTTCCTTGTTATTCCACTCTTCTTGCCATCTTTCCCTTTCTTCTTTTTTTTATAGCTGTTGTCAAATGCTCTCTTCTCTCATAGAGATGTCTCTTTTCTACTGCTAACACATGCAGAGGAACACAACCCGTCATAGCCCACAAGGCCGCCGCAGATACAGTCCTGTAGGCGCATGTTACTCACAACAGACTCGTTCTCTCTACTTTTGTCATGAGCCTAATATTAGGTATCATATCTAAATATAATGAAAAATATTATTAATTATTGTGTATTTATACAATAATTATTGTATTCTACATATTTAAAGTGGTAATTTAATTATTAAATTAGCGTTTTGGATTTTTTGTATTGGGTGTGAAAGACAAGTTACATTTTTCTACTATTCTTTATATATTTTTTACTTTATATACCCTGGGAGGTGGATTTTAACCCCTAAACCCCCCTGAGTGCGCCACAGACTACCATGGCTATTTTAAATTTGTTGACTACGGCCTTAAAAGTCGTGTAGTAGTCAAATTAAGCCATTTTCATAGTTTGAAGCCTGGATATTCCTTTATATACCCTGGAGGTGATTTAACCCTAAACCCCCTGAGTGCGCCACAGACTACCATGGTTATTTTAAATTTGTTGACTACGGCCTTAAAAGTCGTGTAGTTGTCAAATTAAGCCATTTTCATAGGTTTGAAGCCTGGATATTCTTCTTCCTAGACCTCTTTTTCTATGCATGTTACTTTGAAGTATGGTCAGTATTATATGGCACAGGTATTCCAGTTTGCTACATTTTATAGTTATGACTGGTTCGTGCTCTTTACCCATTCTGTGTAGCACTTCTTCGTTCGTAACTTTGTCTATCCAGGAAATTATGAAAGTATATAAAAGGTCTGGCTATTACATAACGAGACTGCGCGCGTAGAAGGCGTCCTAGAGGGGATAAGTGGGACACGAATGCAGCATTGGATAGCTGGAAGTGTCTACTCTTCCAGTACGAAAACACGTTTTTGTCGCGTAGTATTTTCTGTAGGTAAAAGAAGGTTTTATTTCGTGCCGCAACATTGTGACGAAAACTGGCAATTAATGTGAAATTTCTCGTTAACACATTGCCTGCCGTCTCGGTCTATGTGACCGAGACACAGTGACCAAAATAAATGAAATTGTGCGCGGAGATCGATGTATGATTGCTGAGACTGTAAAGTGTAAACGACGATGAAGAAACTGTCAGAAAAATTTTACATGACGAATTGAACATGAAGAAAGTCTCTGTGAAGTTGGTCCCAAAAAATTTGACCCCTGACCAAAAACTCGTCCTTCAACAGATCTGCTCAGAAAACATCATCACTTGCGATGAAACCTGGATATTCAAATACGATGTTGAAACTAAGCAACAATCCATGCACTGGAAAACTCCTGCATCGCCAAGAATGAAAAAAGCAATGATGTCGAAATCAAAATTTAAAACCATGCTAATCGTTTTTCCAACTTTACCGGCATCGTGATGACTGAATGGGTTCCAGAGGGTCAAATTGTACTATTTGAAAGTTTTGGCAACGCTGCGAGAGTGAGTTCGTAGGAAACGACCAGAGTTGTGGAAAAACAAGCCGTGGATCTTGCACCAGGACAACGCACTTGCCCATAACGCGCTGTCTGTGAAGCGTTATTTAGCCGCTAGAGGCATCCCAGTGCTCGAATACCCGCCGTACTCGCCTGATTTAGCACCCTGTACTTTTTCCTGTTTCTGAAGATCAAGTCTGACTTAAAAGGAACCCGGTTTGAGTCGATGGAAGAGGTGAAGCGAAAAACGGCGGAGCTCCTAAAAGCTCTAACAAAAGAAGACTTCCAGCATTGCTTTGGCCAATGGAAAAAACGAATGGAACGGTATGTGGCGAGGGAAGGAAAATATATTGAAGGAAAGCATTCGATTGTAGAATAATTTTTAAAATAAAACTCTTTTTCATAAGCAATCTCGTTATTTAATAGCCAGACCTCGTATGTCCAGAAATTATTCCTGTTTTGACATCAAGTTGGTACCATTTATTTATGATTTCATGTACTGTACCTCTGCAACGATAACTATTTGCGACTAGTGTAGTGTAGGATGATTATAAATACCTGGGAAATTAAATAATACAAAAATGTTAAATGTTAAAAAATGTATATATTTTCTATAAAAATAACATATCACTACTTATTCAATTTTTAATTCTTTAGCAAGAGTAGTCGCACAAACATGCATCATATTATGCCTATTAACTTTAAAATTATCAACAGCTTTATTTCGACTAAGGTCCCATTGGAATAATTCCCTATATAAAGGCTTTACAAATTTCATTCTACCAACTACGTTTACCCAATCTAAAGCGTTTTGAATTTGTTCTACCCATTTGGCTTTAATTCCAGTTTTGAGCCAACGGAATTTTATTTCTGAATTTTTAACATTATCAAAATCAAACAATTTATTTAAGGCGATAAGCTTTTCAATCGGTTGAGGCTCAGCTTCTGACAGTTTCTGCAAAAAGTATATTACTTGTTCCGGTATAAGTTGTTCCTTGTCTTTAGCAGATATTGGCAAACAACCTTCCCCTGTCCATTCATAAAATTTCTCCAAGAGTTGATCACAGGCTTCTGCTAAGGAAGTATCGTAATCTGGAATGATTAAAGGCATTCCTGGGGTGTGCAACCATTTGTCCCAATCTATATTTTTTATTTCAGGTTCATTTTCAAAGTAATTTTCAAAAAAATTTTTAAAATCTGAGGTGTCAATAGATTTGTATTTGAAGGTATCAAAGTAAGATCTTAAAAACGGCTCGAACTTATCTAAAACAAAAATATTATGTAAGGTTTAATGAAAATTAATATGTGTAGGTATGTTTCAAAGATGTAATGTTAATGAACTTTCGAAATACGCATGCCCAAAAAAAATTAATCCTAAAAACATTAAACTATTTTAATTTCATAATAAATTCCATATATAATTTATTAAAAACGGCTGTTAGAACAAAAGTAATACTCCAACTATTCTACTAATACAAAAACTAGTTTGATTCTATTTTTATATGAAAACGCACTGCAGACAATTAAATGTTTTTAGTAATGTCGGATTTCATACTTTGTCACCAAATCAGTGAGCCCGGTTTATGAAATTTTATATAACCGATAATATGTTTTTGTCCCATATGTAGTCGAAGTTTACACTCGCTCCATAGTATCACTCAATTTGTACCATCTCCTGTATTTTTTCATCTCCAATAAGTCCTGTGGCCTCAACGAAGACCAACAGTTTCTTCATTGGTAGTTTTAGGATCTCTTCTAGTTCAATCCTCAGTTGACCAGTGAATTCCTGCCTTATATCACTTAATACACTGCAACGGCATAGGATGTGTATGTCAGTATCCTCTTCCAGTTCGCACTTTCTGCACCATGATTCATTCTTAACTATTTTTATCAAAAATGTGTGCAAATACATGTTGCGTATTTAATTGTGCTAATAATAGCAAAAACAGTGAGTGTAGTTTTTATAGGTTCCCAAAGATTACATATAAATTAGAGAAAAGAAAAAGATGAATTCGTGCTATTAATATGAAAAAGTAAATATCACATAATTTCATTTTTATGCAATTGAAATAGGAAAAATTTAAATAATTTACCTTGAATGATATTTCATAAGGCTTCAAGCTAACTGCAGATGACTTTAGCTTTTATATCATAACTTTTACTATTATTGTTTTTAATTATATGCTCTTTTGCGTGAAAAACTTGATTTGCCAGTACTAGATTTTTCGCTTTCTTTTCCGTTTGGAGTTGAAAAGATATATTATGATGAATTTTGAGAAACTCAGTTTTTAATACTACATTTATTTTGTACATAAACTGAAAAAATATATAGTTAAAAAACTAATTTATTAATAATTGTCAATTTCGCATGTATTTAACAATGTCAAACATATGTCATATATTTAACCTGAAAATTGGGACTCCAAAATTGTCAGATGAAGGCGGTAGGTGTCGCATCAGTCACGCACGGAGCGAATAGGTGTTTTCTTAAACTACAATGACCAGTTCATCATTTTGTCAGAGTTATTTACCTATATTCCTGATTGTTTTCTTAGTCTGGATTTGCCCTTGATTAGCTCTCCATTTCTTTTGATAATTCCTTATCAGCCATTCCTGAACTTCGTTTCTTGCAGCTTCTTTAGTGATGCCACACAGTGGTTCTGGGGCTATAAAGGTTATCTTGAGTCTTGTTTTGCCAACAAATCTGATCGTTCATTCCAATGTACCCATGACCGGGCACCCATATTAAAGACACTTTATTGTCTTTTGTCAGGTTTTTTGACGAGATTCTTGCAGTTAATACAGTTACAGATTAATGCAGTTTTGATTTGGAGAGTTTGTTCTTTAACCAGTATAGCCACTTGGCTATCCGAATAAATGTTGAATTTCTTTGATTTGTGGTCCCTATCTATGATTTAATCAATGCAACACAGTAGTATATTGACCTAGCCTGTAAGGTTTATTATAATTACATGTTTGTCTAAAAGACTGCTCCAGTACCATGGGTAGTTTTAGATCCATCAGTGAACCATATTAAAACCGCATTAATATTTGGTACTTTTTGCTCTCTATTTGGTATAATTGTGTTAATCTTACTAGCGAAGATTAGTTCTGGTATCATCATATCCGAGTTAATCTGAAAGATGGAATCCTCAAGTATAGTCTCAGTGGTATTTGTATGAATATTCAATACACAATTCGACCTCCAAGTATTATTTGCTTTAAGTCTCAGGATGGTCATAAAGACTGCAACCGAACTATATAATTCCGGAAGGGGGTAATCTCTAAATAAGGATTACTGTACTATTCAAGGCTCCTGTCATATTTAGAAACGCGTGTCTTTAGGGTGATGAGGAGAAGTCACAAAGACTGCAGCCGTCTTTTTCCACAAATGTGGAATATGTAACTGTCAGCGTATTACTGATTACCTTTGGTTTCAACGAACATGTTTTGCCTACACTTGGCAAGTAGCTCTGTTGGTTATGTTATTATCAGTATTCCAATTGAATTCAGAATCAGGGATACCCGTAGATACTTGACTTCATTGGTTCTTTCTAGTTCCTCCCCTAATATCAGCTCATTCAGTCCATTAAGTTTCCTCTTATTAGTAAAGGCTACTAGTTTAGTTTTAGAAGGATTCATAGAGAGGTTTTCTTTCAGACACCAATTCTCTATGTGACGAAGGGCATATCACACCTGATCCGCAACAGTACTGGGAAATTTTCCCTGGTCACTATGACAATATCGTATGCGAAACCCTGGACCAGATTACTGGGCTGCTAAGCACATGAATGATGTCGTCAACGACTATATTTCATACTGTTGGGGACAATACACCTCCTTGAAGGCACACCTTAGTTGCCCTCAGGATTATGACACTTTAATATGTATCTGTGAATATTATTCTGAACTGAAATATTTGAATAATCCACTTGCATATTGTATGAAACACTTTAATATCCATAATAACAAATATAAATTAAATATTCTAGCATGAAAGATTCCTAAAAGGATTTTAGGGACAAAGAAAACTCAAGGAAAGTAACGAATAAAGAAAATATACAAAAACCAACAATGCGAGACATATATGAAAACCAATATGCAAATGGAAAGATAACATCTTCAGTTTTGATACCACCAAGACTGTTAAACACAAAACAGTGGCATTTTATAGAAAATAGATTAAAATCAAAATCTATGAATATATCTAAATAACTAATAAAGGAACATCACTGAAAATCAGCATACTAGAAAACAAAAAATAGGTAGTACCCCAACTATTACCATCAGTGCTAAAACAGAAAAAATAAAAGAAGATTATCCTCTTTAGCCCATTAATTAATGTCCTATTTTCCTGTTCAGTTCCTCTACTTCTTATCAAAATAGTGTTGTTTATTGTCTTTCCTGTTAGTTTTATGCGACTTTACCTATTTCTCTATCAGTGTGCTAGCTCCATCTGCGACAACATATTCTTATTATTTCACTATATTTTAAACTCTTCCTCTCTCTCCCCTTATTTTAGATATTGTACTAATTTTACGTTTTTAACTATTAATAATGAAATTCTTACCTGGACCACCAACAGTTTTTTCTAAATACCTAAGGAATGATTGGCCCTTTTCATATGGAACTGTTGAAAATGCTTCATCTGGATGGACTCCTTTTAAATCTACTACAAGATGCGTTAAAGGACTATCAGCACCCAATACTTCTATCTAAAAATATTTTTTGTCCAAATATGTTTGACGAATATATCAATTTATTACTTACAGCTTCTTTTAAATCACTTATGCCCGTGTAGGCGTCAAAATCTTGCATTTGTGGTGATACCAATCTACTAATAATTTTCCTCTCAACCAACATTGTAAAACCCTCATTTAACCAGAAATGCTCAAAGGTTTTGTTCGTTACCAGATTTCCTGTCCAACTGTGTGCTATTTCATGAGCTATTACATTAGCTAAAGATCTATCGCCAGCCTAAAAGCAATAAACAAATCGAAATTACATCTTTTGTATTCTCCAGCAGACCTAATATTCACACAAGAGCGCGACTGCCCCTGTACGGTGGGGCTAAAACGCCAAAAAGTGCTCTTAAACATGTTTTTTTTCTATATTCAGTCAATTGATGATTAGTAAATTTGCAAAGGCCTACCTTTGGGCCTATAGGCAATCAGAACTGGAATTTTGGAGCCCTTTGTCCACTACAAAGCTAACGGTAGCCTTTAGATGACAAAGAACCATGAGTGCGGGAATTTGAAAAAAAGTTTAAGCAAACAGCCTATTATTTTTTTATTAACCCATTCAGGCCCATAGTTGCGTTAACGCACATTGAATGCAATTTTTTTTTACATTCATACTGAAGTTTTTTTTATAAATTGCGGATAGTATTGTGTTAAGAAAGATTTAACCATTCAGAAAAAAATTTTCCACGCAAAAAATATAATTCGAAATAGCGTTAAAAACAGCAAAATAATTATAGAAATTATTACAAGCGAGGTACATTCTCAAGATATTTTCATAGCTTAGGAACATAAAGTAATAATATTCTAAACATAAAATTTATTTAATGAAATCGTAGGCTTTCACGGCCAGAGTCAGAATTATGGTTTATTCGTCTTCCGGGTTTGGACCGTGTCATTTGTGAGTGACCCAAAAGTGGGTTCATCTCGACGTTTCGCTACAATTGTATGTAGCTTCTTCAGGAGAACAAAGAAAAAGAAAAAGAAAAGACAGGAAGATGGGTAGTTAGCAACGGTAACTCAGTTACTCAACGCAACCAGAGGCGAATACTAACTACCAAGATGGGCATTTGGTCACAGTAACTCAACTACTCAACGCAGCCAGAGGTGAAAACCAAATGCCAGGACAGGGATTCACGTCCAACAGCTCAGAACACTAACGCGTCGAGAGGCGGATTCACTCCCGCCTCTCGACGCGTTAGTGTTCTGAGCTGTTGGACGTGAATCCCTGTCCTGGCATTTGGTTTTCACCTCTGGCTGCGTTGAGTAGTTGAGTTACTGTGACCAAATGCCCATCTTGGTAGTTAGTATTCGCCTCTGGTTGCGTTGAGTAACTGAGTTACCGTTGCTAACTACCCATCTTCCTGTCTTTGTTTCTTTTTCTTTTTCTTTGTTCTCCTGAAGAAGCTACATACAATTGTAGTGAAACGTCGAGATGAACCCACTTTTGGGTCACTCACAAATGACACGGTCCAAACCCGGAAGACGAATAAACTATAATAAAATTTATTTGTTTTTAGAAAATAATGTCGTTTCAGGATTTTGAATATAGCGTTGCGTTAACGCCACTATGGGACAATAAGTATAATAAACACGTGGTGTTTGTTAGTGTTTGTTATTTTGTCTTGCGGATCATAATATAAGGAAACAAGGTATGCTCACTAGGTGGACTCGTTTTTGCACATCGCTGCGCCGACCAAAATCCACCATTTTTCCAATACGTCACATGCGTGACGTCTGCTTTGTTTACGTCCAGCTAAGTGTTTTGCATTTTAGAGTAAAGTTAGTTTTTCGATAATAATGCCAAATTGTGCTGTTAAACAATGTTCCAATTGGTATGGGAATACAAAAATAGAAAAGTACGATATTTTTCTATTCCAAAAGATGAGAGAGCTCAACAGTGGATAGATTTTTGTGGTGACAAAATAAATCTCAAAAATGGTAAGTATTTATTAACCTTACTTTGCAATGTATTGGAATTTAAAAGTAAATTTGTTTTTGTTTTGTTTCGATTTTTTAAAAATTATTTTAGCAAGAGTCTGTTCAGATCATTTTAAATCTGAATTAATTGGATTAATGTATAATATTAATTTTATTTTATTTAACTACGATATTTTTTATCAATTTTGTACATATTTGAATTGCCGCCTTCAAAATGGCGGATTTTGGTCGTAAACGCGATTGGCTGTTCAAAATAGATGCGTGTGAGCATACCTTGTTTCCTTATATCATGTTGCGGATGCTCGGTTTATCAGTCGTATCGAATATCAATACGAGTATTATCGGTATTTTTTGTATTTGAGGTGATTTCTGTTAGTCATACAGTGTCTAAGTGTTCAGTAAAAGTCGACAAAAATTGGTATCCTGTTATATTCTTAGATAACGTGAAATTTTATATCATGGTAAGTTCTTTTATTTTTCGATATTTATGTGAATATTACTAAGTTGGTTAATATTTTAGGGCGCGAAAAAGTATAAGGATGATCCTAAAAGGCCCTTGACCATGAAAGAGCTCGAAGCTCTAGTTGAAAACCTGGATGTAGATGATGAGATAGATGTTTGTTTATTACCTAACATTATTATTGTTTGGTTATTAACAGAAGTTGATAACCTAACAGATGAGGATGATATGGTTAATATAAATAGTTTGCCGAAAGATGTGCCTGGGACATTTGAAATAACAAATATAAATAAAGAAGACGAGTTAGAAGAGACAAGTGTAAGTCAGTCTCTGCAATCATCAAAAGTCAAAAAAATAGCTCGAGTCGAAAACGTAACCTGCTGCAGAAAACCCATTGAGTATGGAAATGATGCTGAATCGAATGAAGAAACTCACATAAAAAATATCGTTGAGGAGTTGCATGAAAAGTCGGTACTGGACTATTTTATAGAAATGTTCAATGAAGATATTATGCAATGTATTATTTCAAATTAAAAAAAAAATCGAGAGATCAGATCCGTCCCAAATTTGACTTGGATCGAAATGATTTAGAAATATTTTTGGGATTGTTGATTTTGAGCCGATATCACACTCTTCCCCGTGTAAAACTTTACTGGTCTTCCGATGAGGATAAGAAGTTCAGTTTGCGAAGAATGCAATGTCTCGAAATAGATTTCTTGAAATAAAGCGAAACATACATCTTGCAGATATCCATCAGCTAGATAAACAAGATAAATTTGCAAAAGTTCGTCCGATGATCGACCTGTTGAACAAAAGTTTTTTAAAATATGGTGTTTTCAGTCAATACTTATCAATAGATGAACAAATGTCCCATACTTCGGCCGACATTCGGCAAAAATGTTTATAAAGGAAAGCCTGTTCGTTTCGGATACAAAATGTGGTGCCTTGCATCTAGCAATGGATATTTATATAACTTTGTTACTTATGCTGGAAAATCCAACCAGAATAATTCAAAAGAGTTTAGTATGAGTGAAGCAGTTGTTATCAATCTTTTAAAAGTCGTGGAAGATAAGTCTGCACACAAGATATATTAATTTCTTTACCAGCTACAAGTGTTAGTTCATTTAAAACAACAAGGATACTTTGCCACTGGAACAATACGTGAAAACAGGCTGCTAAAATGTCCGTTGAGAATACAAAATTCATTGAAAAAAAAAGATCGCTGCACTACGGATTATCGCTACGATCAAACTAATAAAATAAGTGTTCTGTCGTGCCAGTGGCAACCAATATTGTGATCTAGTAGAGCCGGTTCTTCCCGCAAAAGGATACAATCGCAAGGTAAGAAAAGATATCGCTATCCCACAGTCCATGATAGCTAAATACAATACATGGGTGGAATGGACTTACATGATAATAGAGTGGCTAATTATAGAATTAATATCCGTGGAAAAAATGGTGGTGGCTGTTATTTATATTATAAACATGTTAGACTCTGCTGTCGTTAATGCCTGGAAACTCTCCTCCTCCTCCTCAGTCCTAATCCCTTTTGGGATGTGGTGACACCATCAGGCCTTCACAGTTTTTTTAGGATTTCCCTCCATCCTTCTCTGTCCTGGGCTAGTTGTTCGGCTTCATGTAACCCTTGGTTAATCAATGTTTTTGTTTGATCTACCCAACGGCTTGGAGATCTTCCCCTAGGTCTTTTTCCTTCAACTCTACCCTCGACTATCAGTTTTTCCATCGTGCCTGTTCTTCTAGCAATGTGTCCAAAATACTGCAAATATCTCTGTTGTATTTGTTTAAGCAATCTATCCTTTACTTTAAGTTGTTCTAGTATCGATACGTTAGTGCGATGATCAATCCAGGATATTCTCAACATGCGGCGGTATACCCACATTTCAAAAGCGTCCAGTTTATTTTTATCCGCTTTCTTTAAGGTCCACGTTTCGGATGCATATGTAGCTATGGGAAAAATGAGGCTGGAAAAATGGCTAGAAACTCTACAGAATTGTATATGAGTAAAATCCAATTTAGCAATTAGATTTTAGGTCAGAACTTGTGCGAAACCTAGTTAGTGTTAACAAAAGTAGCACAAAATCTGTTAGAAGTCGTGGCTCTTGTTCTTCCTTACCATCTACCTCGCGTCTGAAAATGTGGGCCACATGATTGAACGCAATAATGAAAACTGGAGAAGGCGTTGCAGGATATGTAAAAGTACAACGGTTTTTATGTGTAAAAAATGTAATATGCCATTGTATCCATATTGTTTCAAAGACTACCAAAGATGAAAATAAAAATATTTTTATGTTATACGTATAGTACCAATGTTGCGTTAACGCAATGTTAAAAAAAATGGACGTGTAATTTTTTTTGTTTATAAAGCTTTTAAATTAACTTTATTTCTGTTTAATTAAATATATATTTAATAAAAATTCATTGGTTTTATTATATTTTCTACAAGTGGGCCTAAATGGGTTAAAGGAGAGTATATTAATTTCTTTCATGTCCAACGATAGTAATAGGAGGAAGAAAATTAATAATTCAATATTCAAACTGAAAATCGGTTTTGATCCGCCCGAAAAACAAGGGAATTCAAGGTTCTTTTTCCAACAAAAACTGGCCTCTTATGTACTCTTTGAAAGAAATATTAATTGGTTATTGAGGGTCTGAATGAAGATCTTGAAAGAATACGTACACATACACACGGTGTGTCATTTAAAAGATGCCACCTAAAATTTTTGTCATTTTTTAATTTTTACGAATCCTACCAAGAAATTGATTTTCATTATATGCTTGTGTAATGTTTAAGAATATGTTCTAAAGCATTATTTAACCATTTCTTAAATAACAAATGCCAAAAAAAAACGTCGTCCAAAATGATGATTTTAATGGAAAATTTAAAAAATGAACATTGGAAATTTCTTTATAAAAATTACAATTAAGACTTGATTTTTAATATTCTGTATTATTACATCTACTTTGAATTACACTCCTCATTCGACTTGGCATTGAATTGATCAAATTCTGGAGGTTATCTTGAGAAAAAGGTTCCTATGATCGCCAACCGAATTGCTAACGATTTATTAGAGCAGTTGGTCCCAAAGATACTCAATCGTGTCCAAATATAGGCTTTAAGCCTTCCAATTTATTTTTGACACACTGACAGTTTACAGGTATTGAGTTACTATCTTGGCTACGTGTGACCGCGCGTTACGTCTTCTGTACGTTTGATGCGACCGTCGTCGCATCACCAGTCTAGACACTCTGGACTCATCACTAAACAAAACATTTTTCCAGTCTTCTCTCGTCCAATGCTCGTGATCTCTAACAAACTCAAGTCGGAGTTGTCGATTTGCTGCTGTTAACAAAGGCCCTGTTGCTGGACAGCGAACCCTTAGATCAAATTCTCTCAACTTTCTTCTCACTGTAGAAGTGCTTAATGTCCACCCATGAGCATTTTGAAAACGGTTTTGGATTGCTCTAGTCGTAAAGTATCGATTTTGCAAAGAAGTGCGTTGCCAAAGTCTTCGTCTGCGCAGATCTTCTGTGTGATCCGTCACAATCGTTGATATGTTTCTTGACCACACAACGACCGATTCCAAGCTGTCTGGCTACTTCTCTTGGACTTATTCCATTATCAATCAAAGTAACAATTTGAACAGATCTAGCAAATCTCTCAGCCATTGTTTTAAATTTAAAAATTGCACAAGTTCACTCTTTGAACGACTGTATACTAATGAAAGATTTTTGAAAAATAGAATAGAGGAATAGAGCCCAATTCCAAGAAAAACAACGTACAAACAATACCTACATTCTACGAAGTCGTTAAACTTATATCAGTTCTGCGAAATTATTACCCTTAATTGACCTGTGGAGCCCCAGTGGCGGCGGTGTCTAAAAGTGTTTATGCATTGTGGGAGTTTAGTTACGATAGAATAAATTGCATAAACATAAAATTATTAAAAAATTCTAGGTTGCCTTGAATGATGCGCAGTCTATAAAGTATACAAACCTACCAATAAAGTGGGGGTAACGAAAGTTAAACAAGGGTTTTCCATTCCTCCATACGGAAAACTGGGAGGTAAGACCAGTAGATCGTATACACCCCACACGTATGGTCCACAAATATCTTCGGCAGTCTTAAGTTGATGTTCAGTTTCAGCAAATTCATAGGCACACTCCTCGATCAGTTCTTTTTCTGCCCAAACGTGTGACCTGGGTCCCAAAGGTCTAGATTCAAGAGCACCTACAGCAAGGGCTATAAGATAAGAAGGCACTGGAATCTTCTGGTAAAAAAAATAATGCTTCTTGTCGTCAATCACCTTGGATCCTTCATTGATAGCCGACATTAAAACTTTCAACTCCTTTGGGGCCGAAATCTACAAAACATTTGTTTTTATTACTTTTAACCATTATTATTATTATTATTATTAATTATTAACACGAATAATGTGTTTTTATCAGAAACATGATAAAAACAATTGCCTTCTATTTAAATTATCTTATGCATTAGGAAAGTGCATATCTTAAGTGCTGATTACTTTAAGTATTTGCACTAAACAATTTTGTAAATATGTTTTTATACAAGTAGTGTGTTATTTACTTATTAAATAGATATCAATCAAATACTGAGAATCATTCAAGATAAAAATCCGTCCCAATTTTATTTAAATATATGAAAAACTAGAAATTTTAGATGTTATTCTACATATACAATATCATCTCTTCCTTTTATTTATGAGAGAAAATAATAAATTTTTATCTACTTCCTTTATCCTTATAGGTTTCGGCTTTCTTAGTAGTATTACTATTATAATTAGGTTAGATATTCGTAATATAACTCCAGAAATGATCCACAATGTTCAAGAAGATTGTCGTCGTCGGTTTAATTACTGCCAAGAGGCAGGTTAGTGGCAATTTAAAAATTTAATTTAAACATTTTTTTTCCATTTTCTAATAGCAGTAAAATGTATTTTGTATATATAAATACTTCTGTGTAAATTAATTTAAATAAAAAATTAAATATTTTTTTGACCACCCTTTTTTTGAATAACCCTTCAAATGAGTTAGTACACGAGCCCTGTTTTCATTAAAACGAATCATCGATTTCATCATCATGGCCAAATGGATAACATCACTAATATGTTATATTATGCCAAAAATTAATTATCATAATTTAAAAATAAAAATCGACTGCTTCTAGATTTGTTCTCAAAGTCACCTATTGTCTAAAGAATTCTCTACATGAAATATAATTCCTGGACGACTGTGAAGATTGCTAAGTCGAGGCGCAAGCCGAGACTTAGCAACACAGAGTCCAGGAATGTGGCTTTTCCTACGAGGTAAACATACTATTTTTCCGCAAATCGTTTAAAATTCGACAGATATTGATTGATTTAAAAAAAACGCGATAATTTTATTCCCAAATAAATGGTGCTTTGAAATTCCTAATAAAATTACTTGGGTTACTATGGAAACGTATTGAGGTTGAATTGTCAAACTTGACGCTTATAAATTTAATTGCTGGTGTTCTCGAAAGTAAAATGATAAGTGATGATGAAATTTCCATTCCTGGGACTCCTCCAGAGCTGGTTGAGGCAGTGAATACTGCTTCATTAGAATTATTGCCAAAGAAATCAAGAGAAAAGTACGAAAATGCATACAGATTTTACTATCATTTATGTAGAACACTAACAACTGTACGGAAATATCATTTCCTTACAGTAAGGAAATGACATTTCCTTACAGTAAGGAAGTCCTGACTTTTTCTTCAAGAAATTTTGACAGGAATGTCAAAATTTCCTGGCGATTTGCGGAAAATAATTGTGTACTAAATGTTTAACTTTAAGAATCACGAACAATTCTACTGAAATTATCATTTCGCTAATTGTGTGGAAAACAGTAACAGATGTAGCTTGTGCTCCCGCCGTACGCCTAGCGTGAAAACGAGAAAGATTTTTACTGTAAAATAATAAATATTATACAAAGATGCCAAAATCCAGTCGTCAGAGACGAAAATGCCACTTAATCTCTAAAAATCATACGAACAACCCCGATTGTGCTGTGAATGTCAATTTTAGGACCCCAAAAAAGATGAAAAAAAGTTTGTCACTTCTACCCCCGACTTCCTACCCAAAAACCCCCTCGTAGGGGGAAAAACGGAAACATCGATTTACCCAGAATCTGTACGCCGTAGATAAAATATATTTAAAACAAAAAATGCAGCTGAGATAATTGTGAACAAATAAGTGCCTTAGAAGTATTTTGTGAAGTCAACCGTTCTCACAAATGAGCGATCCTAGATAGGATGAAAAATATAAATGCGAAAATTACAGTAAAAATTGGCGAATATAGAAAGGACTTTAAACATAACTGTAGTCTTAAGCTTTTGATCGCTCAGAACAAGTTTACAACCCCTATTAATCCCCCCTATAAGATAGTAAACAAGCGTGTACAGGGATAAAAATGGGATAAATACAAAAATGGGAAGGAATCGATTATAATACAAAGTTTCTCATGGTAACGGGAAAGAAATCGTACAAGGTAATAGTAATATTATTCTATAAATAAAAGTAATAATAATATTATTCTACTTCGTAGACCCATTAACAGTAAAAATTTGTTTAAGGCACTAAACATTTAAGCATGTTTCGCGCTCAGCTACTCATATGGTATTGTTAATTGGACAAAAACGGATATAGAAAATCTTCAGCGAAAAGTACGAACACCTCTCATAAAGGCACAAAAACACCATCCTCAAAGTGCAGTAGAAGAATCGACATTACCGCGGTATTTAAGAGGACGAAGTCTTATGGATAGAAGTGAGCAATTAGAAAAACATATTACTAATTTATGAACTTATTTTCAGATGCACGCTGAGACATCTATTCTACATGGCGCTATTTGTGCAGTAGATGACGCAACACCGATCAAACTGAGGGAACCAGAAATGCGCATAAACCATGTTACTAAGGAAGAAAAAATGCGCACCTGGATGGGTCAACCTCTGCACGGGCGACATCCCAATGAAGTTAGTCAAGATTCAAAGTTAAACAAATGCTGAAATAATAAAAACCCATATTAGGGTGTTGTCTAATAACGATAAACAAAGTAGGTGTTGTAAATTACAATAATTATGCCAATATTACATGTCTGTGGTTTTATTTAAATGAGTAAGTTGAATAAAAGGTATAAAATTTTTAAAAAGTTTAAACAGACAAGGTAAGGCCCACAAATTGTTATAAAATAGTCTCTTCGATTGTAATAAATTAATAAATGAGCAAATAAATAAATAAAATAAACATTACTTACATGCAGGTACTCTATTAATGTATTTTATTTATTTATTTGCTCATTTATTAATTTATTACAATCGAAGAGACTATTTTATAACAATTTGTGGGCCTTACCTTGTCTGTTTAAACTTTTTAAAAATTTTATACCTTTTATTCAACTTACTCATTTAAATAAAACCACAGACATGTAATATTGGCATAATTATTGTAATTTACAACACCTACTTTGTTTATCGTTATTAGACAACACCCTAATATGGGTTTTTATTATTTCAGCATTTGTTTAACTTTGTATCGAGACCTGAGGATGGATTATGTTGACAATACAGCGTCGAATTATTGACTGACATCGGGAAAGATGTTGCCTGACACAGAAGGTTCATTAATTGCCATCCTGAATCAGGTTATACCAACAAAAAATTACCTCAAATATATCGTCAAAGACCCTCAAGTTCAAAACGACAAATGCCGATATGGATGCCAAGCCCAAGAAACCATCCAACATCTTACTGGAGGCTGCTAAGCATTTGCTACAACTGAATACAAGGAACGGCATGATTCAGTAGGGAAAATCCATCATCAAGAAATGGCTATCAAACTTGGTCTTCTCCAAGCAAACCATCTCCCATATTATTAATAAGTCTCAGAGAATATGTTTGAAAATGTCAAACTGATTCTTAAACTATGTAACTTCAAGCTATATTGAGACCGCACTGTGCTCACAGACCAAAAAGTAGTACACAATAGACCAGATCTCGTACTAGTTAATAAACTAACGAGACAAACAACACTAATCAATACCTAACAACTGTAATACCTAATAATCTGCATGTTAAATACAACGAATCGCCAAGTACAGAGATCTGGAAATACAAATAAGGAGACAATGGAGAATGAAAATTAACCAGACAATACCTATTATTCTTTCTACTACTTGAGGCATTCCAAAGAATCTCCTAAAAAACATACAAAAACTGAGTCTGAATGAACATCTCATATTTTTAATAAATCATCCCAAATTTTGGCATATGCAGATGATGTGGACCTAGTTGCCCGCACAACACGCAAGCTAAAAGAAATGTATACCACCTTCTCAAATGCCTCAAAATCTATGGGCCTGCAAGTAAATGAGGAGAAAACTAAGATGATGGCATCAACACCCAACAATAGAGTCAGGAACATCGGTCCCCAATTCACGGTTGATAACTCTACCTTTGAAGTGGTGGACAAATTCACATACTTAGGCTCCCTGATCACCAAAGAGAACGCCATAACGGAAGAAATCAAGCGAAGGATAATAATGGCAAACAGATGCTATTTTGGACTGAGTAGACATATGAGAAGTAGAAACTTAAGCCAAAAAACAAAAATAACTATATACAAAACCCTTATACAGCCAGTGTTGACATATGGATCGGAGACATGGACCATCTCCAAGGCAGACGAAGACCTTCTGCTTATATTTGAACGAAGGATCCTGAGAGGAATATTTGGTGGCATCTGTGAAAATGGTGTTTGGAGGAGGAGATACAACTACGAGGTATACCACAGATATAAACAAATATTTGGTGGTAAAGACGTAGTATCTCTTATAAGAATAGGAAGACTAAGATGGGCAGGACATCTAGCAAGATCACAGCAGAACAACCCTCCTAGAAGAATCCTTATGTCACAACCCGTGGGAAGTAGAAAAAGGGGTAGGCCAAAACTCAGATGGAAGGATGGTGTAGATGAGGATGGTAGAAAGATAGGCGCAGCAAACTGGCAACGGTTGGCAATGGATAGGACTGCCTGGCGTAATAGACTTGGGAAGGTCGAGGCTCTTTCATAGGGCTGTAGCACCATTGATGATGATGATGATGATGAATGAACATCTCTCTAAGACCATGCAGTATGTTGTACTATTTTTGACGTCCGAGTGTGAAAAAGAATTTTTAGGAGATACTCCAGCATACCAAGTCACCTATCTCGATAATACGGATAGACCCCACCAGAGCTCAATCCTTTTGATATCGTAGGTATCTGAGATGGGTAAATTTTTCCCTTAGAAGGAGCGAGAGCCGTACGGCTTAATCTGGATAACATAACTCACAAGTTAGTTAATAGTTCAAATGTTTTCGTTTAGAGATACAGTCCATTTCATGCGTTGTCTCGGTGGTCCCGCTTAAGTGAGAGCCGGCTGATGTTCCAGCGCAGCACCTTGTTGTTGTTTGGCTCACAAGAGCGAGTAGAGCTCTTGTTATTGTTTGGCTTACTTCTGGTTGTTATTGGGCTGTAGCTGATTGTATGACAGGGGCCCGCCTCCTCAACATCCTGCCACCCACGTCTCGCAGCTGTCACGTTAAGCGCCGACTCCAGAAGTGTTCTGGCAATCTCCATTTTCATGGGTGTGCATTTTATTCCTACTGCCAGGTGTCAGTTTTTGTTCCGCGGCAGGTATCTATTCCTGCTACATCTGGGTATCAGTGCTAAAAATACCCAGAGAGCATTCACACAGGAGATACCTCAATAGGAAAGATTCTTCACCAAGAAGTAGCTAGCAAACCGGGACTCCAAACCGACCATCTCCCTTATTATCAATATGTCCCTGACAGAATGCTTGAAAACGACTATTGAGAAAACTATAAACTTTACTGAGATCACACTGTGCTCAAAAACCAACCAGTGGCACATAATAGACCAGATTTCATACTAGTTAATAAACTTACTAGACAGACAACACTAATACATATGGCGATACCTAAAAATAATAATCTGCGTATTAAATACAACGAAAAATTGCTAAGTACAGAAATCTGGAAATAAACACAAGGAGATAATGGAGAATGGAAAGTACCCATTAATCTAACTCTCTACTAGTGGAGTTATTTCGAAGAGCCTCTTAGAGATCATAAAACAGCTGGATGAACAGCTTAATGAACATATCTATCACACCATGCAGAAAGCAGTACTGGTCTCAACATCTAGATGCATAGAAAATTTTTGGAAGACACTGGAGATAAAATTTGAAATAGTTCCACCAGAGCTCCTTCCTTTTGACATCGTAGGTATCTGGTATGAATCAATTTTCCCCTCAGAGGTAATGTGAGCCGTAAGGCTAAATCTGGATATTTGTTTATTGCAAAACGGTCTTTATACAATGTACAAAATTGGCTCATTCGTTCCTTTCATCGCTCACATGACATGTACACAATATTTCCGTGCAGCCAATACATACAAGCGTATGCATGTAAGGAGATGTGCGCCGCTGCAAGAATTGTAACCCGCTGGCAGTACTTGAACGAAGCGCACTGTTACTTGTCTTAGAAGGTCTCCCTTAAAATTCCAAGACTTGTTTACATGAAGCAACTATATGCAATCAATAGTAGAAACATTCAGCTTCAAATTACTGTTTCGAACGTCCCGAAATATGGTCGGAATCGAAAGTTATATATGTTTTTGTGAAAAAATGAGGAAATCGTTATATTGGCCTTTTACCTCAAATAAAACGTTTAAAACTACTTCTTTTCGCTTGCATAAGTAAGTCTTTAAAAACTACACATCTTCAGCGACAAATTTCACTCAATGCCGTCTTCGTGAAAGCATTTCCGTGACATGAGATCGTTTGTAATGTGAATGTTTAAATTCAGTGTTTTTTTTTAAGATTGGAATTCCACAGTGACCGGTCAATGGAAGTGATAAATTGATAAATAGAAACTGACTTCATTTGCGATCAAATGTAAAAATTGCATACGAAAGCTGGACTTTTCACCCTTAAAACGCATTTTGATTTTTGTTGATAGGGCATTCTGATCAACAGACTTGAATTTTTACCGTCGAGTTGATATAAGTTTTATTTAAAAAATTGATTTCGCGCGCGTAACTGAGATTCAAATTTCCCAGTCGCTTCAAACGTTGTTTCTGAAAGAACGGTTGATATTCACAGCAAAATCCAGCTTTATCGTCTCGTTTTTAGGGATCAAATATCTGACAACCAGATTTTCACAGAAAATTAAAATAATGATTCAAAAATAATTACTAAATATTTAAATAAAACACTATGCATCTCATAAAGAAGCAATATTTTGTCTAATACGCGTTAAATCGTCACATTTAAACATTAAAACTAAACTGCTTAATTTTTATACATATGAATGAAACACAATACATAAAGATCTATAATTAGTAATAAAATATAAAAATAACAAAAGCTGTATGTGTTCGACTTACTGTAGCTTTGTAGGGATGTTTAACAGATGGAGTGTCTTGACAAGGTATCACAGATCTTGCATGTGTTGGCTGAAAATACAAAATAGAATCAGTAAGATAAAAATTTAAAATCTACTGTTACCTTACTTGAAATTGGCTGAATAAAAATGGATGTATTTTTCCTGCGGTTGTTTGTGGAAGGAGCCATTGAAGACCACTAGCTTCGGGGGCAGTTTCATATTCGATCTTAATTCTAAAAGTTAATATCTTGTTCTTATAATAGCAAGTACATTTTAATAATTTAATATATTATGTTATATGTATGTATGTATTTTGTTATAGAAGTAAAGTCACATTGGAACTGGGAAATAACAAAAACTTTATAACGTGAGTCTTTTGTTAAAAAGTTCTTCTATTTCGATATCTCCAAAGGATTTTTTAAAGCATGGTAGATAGTTTTGATCCACGGCAGTTTTAGGCTCAAAAAAATATTTTTTAAACTTCGACAACTGTTATTTGCTTCTGTTTCATCTAATTTCTTATGCTATTTTATCACTCCACATTTTGTTTCACATTTGAAGATAAATTAAAATAGATGTAAGTGTCATATATAAACATTAAAATTAGTCTAACCAATTGGCCGCGTTAAGGTCACTTTTCTAAACTAAAAATATTGCACTTTCTACTTTTTAGATTTTGTTAACAAGTAAATCGTAAAATAGGGTACAAAAAATAAATGAAACAATGTGTGTTATCGAATGTAAAAAATTCGAAGATAAAATGAAAATACTGAAAGCCAAGGGTAAACTAATGAACTATAAGCAACATAAAGTATATATAGAAAGTGATCTAACATTAAAAGAGTTAGAAATACAAAGAAACCTTAGGAAGATAGCAGCAGATGAAAAGACTAATGGGAAAAGGACAAAAATTGGATATGGTTTCATAGTTATTGAAGGCATTAAGTGGAAATGGAATCAAAAAACAAGCCGGATAGAAAAAGTAACATACAATACTGAACCAACTTGTTCAAAAAACTAGCTGAAGAAAACACAATGACGGACCGAGAAACAAAACAGGCACAGAACATGGACATGAGCAGACTTAAAGATAACAACACAAACGGAAAGAAAAACAAATTGAAGTATAACTTAAACACAGAAAAGAACAAAACAACTTTGAAAATGGCATCATGGAATGTAAGAGGTATAAATGGGAAGGAAATAGAACTGGGGAAGAAATTAGAGATAACAACATTGAAATAGTAGCTATAACCGAGACAAAGAAAAAAGGAAGAGGATCAATAATATTAGAAAACGGAATGTTACTAATATACAGTGGAGCGGAAGAAACGAAGAGAGCTCAGGCAGGGGTAGCGTGCATGATAAAGAAGGACAGTATCAACAAAGTAAAAAATTGGATATATTACAACGAACGTATACTAAGAGTAGACATAGATATGGATACAGAGGAAACCAATACAAACCTAATAATATGCTATGGACCAGATGAAGACGCAACAAAAAACGAAAAGAATGAGTTCTGGGACAAATTACAAGAAGTGATAAATGATTGATAGAGAAAATTGTGATCACAGGAGACATGAACAGTAGAGTGGGAAAAGAAGCAGAAAAATGGAACAATGTCATCGGACCTTATGGGGAGGCAAAAATAAACAAAAATGGAAAATGACTACCCGAATTCTGTCTAGACAATAACCTGGTGATTATTAACACACACTTCCAACATAAAAAGATACACAAGATCACAAGAGAAGTCAAATCAAGAGATGAACAATCTATTATAGACTATACTATAGTATAAAAACAGAGAAGAACTGGATAAGAGACGTAAGGGTGAAAAGGAGTTATGAAATTGGTAGTGACCACTATCTACTAGAAACCACATTCAAATGCAAAAGAACAGAAATAAAAAGAAATGAGAACATAAACAAAAAACACAAAGAAATAATAAAAATTTATAAACTAAGGGAAGAAACAACGAAGATAAGATACTCAGAAGGGCTAGAGAAAGTGATGGACAATGAACATGAAATAACAGAAACAATAGAAGAAGAATGGGGAAAATTTAAAAATGCGATGATAAAAACAGCTAAATCAATATATGAAACTACAAGAAATAACAACAGAGGGAGACGTACATCTTGGTGGAACGATGAAGTGAAAAGAGAAATAAAAGAAAAGAAGAAGTTATGGAAAGAATACATAAAAGACAAAACACAACTAAAATATGAAAATTATAAGAGACAAAGAACAAAAGTTAAAGAGATAGTTAAGAAAGAGAAAAAGAAAAGTTGGGAAAAATTCGGAGAAAAAATGGAAGAAAACAGCACAGAAAACGTAAAATTATTTTATAGAACACTGAAAACCCTAAGAAGCAACAAAGAAACGAAACTAAAACAAAAATGAACAAGGAAGGAACAATAATAAAGACGATAAGACAATAATGGAAAGATGGAGGGAACACTACCAGCTGATACTGAATGGAAATCAAGCGAATACAATGGAGAAGGAAAGCCACATCAAGAGAGTATCCATGAGAAACATGGAAAATCCAGAAACTATAGAAAAAGAAGAACTGGAAGAAGCAATAAGAAAGATAAAGATTGGAAAAGCACCAGGAAGCGATGAAGTAGCACCAGAAATGATGAAATATATAGGAGTAAAAGCAAAAGAAAAATTGTTATACATATATAACCTAATATGGAAGAGAAAAGTAATACCCAGAGAATGGACAAATGCAGTAATTATACCTATATACAAGAAAGGAAACACAAGAGACTGTAAGAACTATAGAGGTATATCACTACTATGTGTAGAAGCAAAAGTATACGAAACCATAATAGAAAGAAAAATCAGAAAAGAAATAGAACATAAATTAGAGGACGTACAAAGTGGATTCAGGAAAGGACACAATATACAAGACCATATATTCACCATGCAACAAGTAATAGAAAAAGCCTTAAAGAAAAATAGAGAAATATATCTGAGCTTTATAGACATGGAAAAAGCATTCGACTCAGTCAAAAGAAAAGATATATGGGAAAGCCTAAAGAAGAAGCAAGTAAGTGAAGAACTGATAGAAGCAACAAAGAGTATATACATGAAAACAACAAACACAGTAAGAATGTCAAATATGCAGTCAGAACCATTTGAAACAACTCAAGGAGTTAGACAAGGAGGAAGTCTCAGCCCAGTGCTATTCATAAATGTAATAGATGAGATAGTGAAAGAATGTAAGAAAACGTTCAAGAAATACTGCATCGGTTGGAACAGAATGCAAATGATAAACGCTGAGATGTGTATATTTTCAGACGACATAGTAATTGCGGAAACAGCAGAAAAACTGAAATACAACTTAGAGAAATGGAACCTAGAAGCAAGCAAATACAACTTAAACGTAAACAAAGAGAAGACTTAGATAATGAAAATATCAAGGAAACAAGGAACGGAAGATCAACTAGAAATAATGATAGACCAACAAAAAATAATACAGACAAATTCATACAAATACTTAGGAACAGTAATCAACAACAAAGGAGACATCGAGGACGATCTTACAACAGAATGGAAAACAGGAAAACTATTCAAGCACTAATAGAGGATTCCAATAACAAAGAAATATCAAGCAAAGCCAGAGAATGAAAATACCTCAGAAGACACGATCGGAGTAAAAATGAACTAGATATAATCAGAAATGAAGAAATAAGAGAAACGACTAAAAATCAAACCGATTCTCGAATCAATCAAGGAGAAAAAATTGCCGATGGTTCGAACATCTAACCCGGATGGACAATAATAGACAAGTAAAAGTGTGGGACGCCAAACCAATAGGGAAGAACAGAAGAGGAAGCCCGACTAAAGAATGGAACAGTGACATCTCGCAGATACTGCAGAGTAAGGGTAAGACTTGGCAGGAAGCAACACAGATGGCATATAATAGGAAGGAATGGAGAAAGTTTGTCAAGAGCTAGGACACCTCAGAAGATTATAAAATATTGTAATATAAAGAATTGTATTACAAACGGCCCAACACCGAAAGGTACAAATGGGTCTAGTGATTAAGTAAGTAAGTAGGTAAGTAAATCGTTGATGTATTCGACCGTTACTTGATGAAAATTAATTTTATACAACAATAAAACACTGAAAACTTTGTTTTCGAAACTTTCACAATTTTTTTAGATTTAAAAATTATCAGACTTAAACAAACATGACTTCTCCATATTTCATAAACCTACCCATACTGACACGACTATACACAATTTATTATCCCATCCCACACAACATAAACTGGCGGCCTATTATAGTATGCTACATAGATTAACATAAATTCCAATGTCAAAATACAACTTTGAGACAGAATTAAATATCATTAAGCAAATAGCAGAAAACAATGGATATAACGAACAAACATTAATAAATTTTAAATCAAAAACTATCAACAAAAATAGCCAAACACATAAAAAAGAAAGGAATAACACCAGCTTTCAGAACAAATAACAACTTGGGCAAATATATTAAAAACAACAAGAGCCAAAATAAAAAGTACTTACACAATGGTGTATATAAACTAAAATGTGGTAACTGCCCAAAACTTACATCGGCCAAACTGGTATAAATTTTAATAAACGAATAGCAGAACATAAAAGGGCTTTCAATAATAGAAAAACAGATTCTACATACGTACTTCACCTTCTAGATCATAATCAGTCTTTTAATGACGAATTTCAAGTTCTTCACATTCAAAATAAAGGCCTTAAGCTACCTTTGTTAGAATCTATGGAAATTATCAATTTAAAAAACACAGATATAATTCTGAATGACCAACTTGAGACAGTTCTCCCCTCCTCAACCTATTTCATTAAAGACTATAAAGTGTAAACGCATGCCAAAAATAGATCACTTGAGAAAGGTAATCAGCCGAAACAGCTGTAGTAATAAGATTTTATAATAAATTTTGTGCAAGTTTTGATGTTTCATTGTTACAAGTAAATCGTTTTAATCGTGTTTATCAAAAAGCACAGTAGCTATTAATAACAATAAAATATATTTTATTAAGATAAAATTGCAAAAAACATCGTTTGATTACGAAACCCGGTTTTCCACCTTACAAGTGGATGTCGCATCAGCTTCGATTAAAAGCTTATCAAGTATTTTTATTTTCTTTTACGAAATGCGCGTTCTACCGAAGGTTATTAGACTTAACCACATTTATAATTAGTGATCTCTATTTATTTTTAAAAAACTTAAATTCTTAACTATAGAATTAACAACCAAAAGTCTTCTTCTTATTGTTATATTGTAATTAATTGATTAATTTAATTAAATAAATGAATTTATATAAAATTTTCATGAGAGAGATTGGAACTAATCAAAACGCACCGGCTAGTATGGCAATTATAGCAAAATAATTACCAAAGTACGCATTTAGCGACTTCTAACGAAGCAAATCCCCAGTATTTTGAACTTCATAGATGCCTCGATAGAGATAGAAAGAAATGCAATGTACAGAAGCTGAGAGATGCAACTGCTGCAAAACAGTACTGGGAAAATATTACCAATAGGTTAAGAAATCAAAGTCCAAGCGAAGAAGACCAGAGAGATATAGACTCCTACTGGAACACGATAAAGGAAGATATTGAGTCAGCAGCACAAGATGAAATAGGAACAGAAACTTGTACCCGAAAAAATTACTGGTTTGACGATGAATGCAAAGACGCAACACAGAAAAAAAATGAAGCTTATGCAAAAATGCTTACCCGCCGGACTAGAACAAGTGTAGAGAATTACCAGACAAAGAGAAGAGAAGAAAAGAAAATACACAGAATGAAGAAACGAAACCACTTAAAAAAGGAACTTCAATATATAGAAAACCTCAACAGAGAGAAAGAATTCAGAACATTCTATAAGAAAGTTAACATCAACAGAAAAGAATTCAAGGCAAACACAAATCAATGTAGAAGTTTGAATGGCGATCTATTAACAACAAGAACAGACGTACTAAATCGATGGACGGAATATTTTAACCAGATACTTAATATAGAGGAAGAAGAAGAAAACCCGGAAGACGAAAGCTGTGAGGTAAGCGGAGCAGACGAGAGGGAGGAGAATCCACCAACGATCCTGGAAGTTAAAGACGCTGTAAACAAACTAGCCAGAAACAAATCACCCGGAATAGATAATCTCCCAGCGGAATTATATAAAGAAGGTGGCCACGATATCATAATAGCGCTACAGCAGCTTATAAAAGAAATATGGATACAGAAGTCCCTTCCCAGTGATTGGAATATTGGAATACTTTGCACCATACACAAAAAGGGAGATATCTTTGAATGCTCTAACTATCGAGGAATTACGCTCCTAAATGCAGCGTATAAAATATTCTCCAATATACTATGCCATCGTATGGCACCGTATGCAGAGCGAATAATAGGACAATACCAGGCTGGTTTCAGAGGTGGTAAATCAACAATTCATCAGATTTCAACCCTGAGACAAATTCTAGAGAAAACACTGGAATACGGTGTAGACACGCACCACATATTTATAGACTACAAGGCAGCCTACGACTCTGTAAATAGAAGAGAATTGTTTAGAGCAATGATAGACCTGGGAGTACCAAATCAGTTGGTAAGTCTAACCAAACTAACCCTTGAAAAAGTTGAATGCAGAGTACGAATCCAGGGGGAACTCTCTGAACCTTTTAATACAAATAACGGGCTACGTCAGGGAGACCCACTCTCCTGTATACTATTTAATCTAGCTCTGGAAAAAGTAATACGTACGTCACAAATCACAACTACCGGTTCAATATATAACAAATCTGTGCAAATCCTAGCATATGCCGATGATATCAATATTGTTGGGAGAACGGAAAACGCAGCACGAGAGGCGTATGTAGCACTAAAGGAAGCGGCTACAAAAATGGGTTTAATAATAAACATTAATAAAACGAAATACATGAAAATAGGTCCGCAACCACAAATACGACGGCCACTTGTTATAGAAAACGACGTCATCGAAGCAGTTAACGAATTTGTATACCTGGGAACGCTCGTCAATACTGAAAATGACACTACCGCAGAGATAAACCGCAGAATTTGCACGGCTAATAGATGCTATTTTGGCCTTAATCTCCTTTTTAAATCTACAGTTATATCAAGAAATACAAAAGTAAAACTCTACAAAACAATAATACGCCCAGTCCTAACATATGGTTCAGAAACCTGGACTTTAACAAAAAGCAATGAAAACATGTTAGGATGTTTCGAAAGAAAAATACTGAGGCGAATCTATGGAGCGGTAAATGAAAATGGTGTCTGGAGAAGACGATACAACTTCGAACTCTATAGAATATACCAGGAACCAGATATCGTAAAACACATTAAGATAGGACGTCTGAGGTGGGTAGGCCATGTAATGCGGATGGAGCAAACCGACCCAGCTAGAAAAACGCTCCTTGATAGACCTATTGGTCAAAGAAGAAGAGGAAGACCCAGAACAAGATTCCTAGATAACATAGACCAAGATATGAGAAATATGGAAATACGTGCTTGGCGGAGGAAGGCGATGGATAGGGACGACTGGAAGAGAATTATTGGGGAGGCTAGGACCCACACAGGGTTGTAAAGCCAAAATGATGAAAAAAAAAAATGATGATGACTCGACTTATTATCCTACAGACGACTTCTAAATAATTTTTTGAAATTGTTTTCAAAGAATATACTAATTTCTAGTATATTAGAATGCCCTCAGTCTATTTTTTAAAATTAATTAATAATTTGTAAGACGAAGAATTGTTAATTTCAATGAAAAAACGCGGATTACTGCATGTATTTTAATGAATAATTCACATTTCCCTACATAACTTTTTCAGCATTCAGTTTTTCAGTATTTCGTAAGTAATACTATAAGTAATAAAACCCGTTAATAAAAAAGGTGAGCCGTTATTTTAAAAGGCTAAAAGTTTTTTTTTAATGAAAAAATAAAACATGCTATAAACAACTCAAAATCTGGCAGAGCCCTGAACCAGATGAAGTTCATATCGAGCTCATTAAACTTATAGACGGAGACAATAACTATACTCTGGTGTGATACCTACAGAATGGCTGCTATCGACCTTTGTTCCGCTACCAAAAACCAAGAACCCCAAACATTGTAATGACTATAGATTAATCAGCTTAATGTCACACGTATTAAAAATATTTTTAAAGATTATACATGCAAGAATATTGAAAAGTGCGAAGTAGATACGAGTAATAAGACAGTTTGGCTTTCGTAACGGCTTCGGAACAGTGGAAGCTCTGTATAGTTTCACAATTCTTGCCCAAAAATGTCTAGATCAACAAAAAGATCTTTTCGTTGCGTTTATAGACTATGAGAAAGCTTTCAACAAAGTTAAACATAACATTCTCATGGAATGTCTAAAGAAAAAAGGACTCGACAAAAATGACATTAACATAGTGAGAAATCTCTGTTGGAACCAACAGGCTGTGGTAACATTAGATGGAAATAGCACGGATGCGCAACAGATAAGTAGAGGAGTGAGACAGGGCTGTGTACTTTTACCATTACTATTTCATTCACTATCGCTGAAAGTGAGACAGACCTGCAGATGTTACTAAACACAATTTGTGATACTGGGAACAGTTTGGTTTAACAATAAACATAAAGAAAACAAAGACCATGGTTATCAGTAAAAGAGGCAAAGTCATTACAAGGATCCAGATAAAAAATGAAGATATTGAGCAAGTGGACAAAATGAAATACTTAGGAATTACGAAAGATCTGAATCCGAAATCAGAAATTCGCTCAAGAATAGAGCAATCAAGAGCAGCCTTTTTGAAGATGAGGAAATTTCTGAGTAACCAAAGACTCAATCTGCAAATCCGATATCGATAAAATGTTAATCCACTTATTCTTCTTTATGGTGTCGAAGATGGACTGTTAATGTTAACTTAATGAAAAACTGGAAGCTTTTGAGATGTGGCTTTTTAGGAGAATTTTGAAGATACCATGAGCCGATTATATTACAAACGAAATGGTGTTGCATAGAATGGGAAGACAGAGAACTTTTGACCGCAATAAAAGGCGCAATATAGCATATTTGGGGCACATACTTAGAAATAATAACTACGAATTGTTGCAGCTGATTATGAAGGGTAAAATCAAAGGAAAAAGGGGTCCTGGTAGACGACAAATATCCTTGCTAAAAAACATTCGCGACTGGATCGGGTTAAACACATAGACGCTCTTAAGAAAAGCAGTAGAGACGAATTTGCAATGGCTATAGCCAACCTTCATTAGTGGAGACGGCACTAGAAGAAGATGGGATATATATATATATATATATATATATAATATATATCTTACAATATACCTGAATCCTGATCCCCCAGGGGGAGTGTAGTGGTCGACGTGATGTCGTGTATTGTGCGTCTCCAGAGATCTCTGTCTCTGGTCATTTCTTTATTTAATTCATGCACAGGTCTTCTGGGCATATTCCTGTAATTTGATCTATCCATCTTGTTGGGGATCTTCCTCGTGATCTTCGACCTTCTATATATATATATATATATATATATATATATATATATATATATATATATATATATATATATATATAGAGAGAGAGAGAGAAAAAAGACAAAAAAGGTGACTACTACATCTATTTATTGAAGACGTTTCGCTTTCTAATCAGAAAGCATCATCAGTTCATCTTAAAAGAACAATATGAAAAACTGCATATTATATGTATAAATTTACAGCATTGAATAAAACTTTCAAGAGACCAAATTGAAATACCGGAACCTAAAACTCCCAACTTACATTAAATTAAATATTTTAATAGAGTATTTCATTTCAAGGTTTGCTTACATTGAAAGGATTTACTGCAAATACTTAATACTACGAATTACGAAATGAATACTTGTCTAAAATAATCACTGAAATCAAACTTGACTCGTGTAGAACGATATTTAGTTCTTATCTCTTACTAAATGACTTACTTTTTAACTTCTTTTTGGGGCAACTGAATTGTTAATTTAGATCCAAAATCTTCTAAGTGATCTGATAATGTATATTCCAATGTTTCTTTACTATCAACATCAAATATCGACGATATATTCAATTTAAATGTGTCAAGTACCTAAAAACAATAATTAAATCTATACTATACTCATACAGCATAATAAGGTCAAGTTCAAAATGATTATCAGTTTTTATTTTAAAAAGTCCTATATATAGATTAATAAATAATAAAAGAATATATAAATGTCCTTGCTTTATCGGTCTTGTATTAAAACACTATATTATTGTTTAAACGTTTCGGCAAATTGGCAATTTCGACACAACAATACATTTACAATGCTACAATGGATTTTAGGAACTTTAAAAAATGTTCAATATGCCAGTGTTATAGTAATTATGATAAATATAAATTTATTAAATTATACTATATATGTTGGAGAGAAAAGCCCACCAAAAAAGACTAAATTTATACACGAACAACGCTAATGTAAATAGTGAAAACACTTTGTCATTCTTTAAGGAGGTTGCTTTTTTCTCATATTGATCATCTTATGTTTACGTTCTCTTCAGTACTTTCTATCACTTTGTTTCTTATCGACGGAATCTCATATAGCGTTTTCTGTTCTTCCAACAATACTAATGCCATCAGCATAAGCAAGGGGTTGCACTGATTTGTTATAATATTGTGGCATATGTATTTCTTTTTCCAGAGCCAGATTTAACAGTATACACGAGAGAAGGTATCCCTGACGCAGCCCTCTATTTGCTTTGACTTTTTACTGTTGACTGTTAAGACAGTTGTTGAGCATTCATATTTCCTATCGCTACCTATGCTTCAGAAACTTGGACAGTAAAAAAAGGCAATTCAAAGCGTATAATGGCATTTGAAATGTGGGTCTACCGTAGAATGTTGCGCATACCATGGATCGCCCATCGCACAAATAACTCAATTCTAGCAGAACTTAACATAAAAACTAGACTCATCACAACTATCAACCAAAATATACTGAGATATTTTGGACATATAACTAGAAGAAGAGAAGGCATGGAGCGAATGATAGTTGAAGGTAACGTAGCGGGTAAAAGATCCAGAGAAAGATTTCCAGTACGATGGTCGGACCAAATAAAGGAGATGACTGGTTACTCATTCTCCGAAGCAAAACAACACGCACAGGAGAGAGATAATTGAACAAAAATAGTTAAACAAATTACATGACGCCACTACATTCTTACAAAGAAGAAAAGATCAAGGAGGAGGTTAAGACATTGTTAAATTTACCAACTGATTTGGTACTCCCAGCTTTTATTGCTCTGAACATTTCTCTTCTATTTACAGAGTCGCAGGCCACCTTGTAGCCTATATGATGAGTATCTATGACATATTCCACTGTTTTTCCTAAAATTTGTCTCAGGGTTGCAATATGATGAATTTTCTTTTGTCTACCACCTCTGAAACCAGCCTGGTATTTTACTATTGTTCTGAAGCTATTTTCTTGTGGCATTGTAAATTAATTACTATTAAACTGGGAATAAGCCACAATTAAAGATAAAAATACGTTTATTGACGTTTCAATTTGAGAATGATTTCCGAAGTGGAAATTGAAACGTCAATAAACGTATTTTTATCTTTAATTGTGGCTTATTCCCAGTTTAATAGTAATTAATTTGGTATTTTACTATTATTCATTGTGCATATGGTGCCATACAGTGGCGTAGTATAGTAGATAATATTTTATTCACTGTATTAAAAGTATTCCAATATTTCAATCACTAGGTAGGCATTTATGTGTCCATATTTCTAATACACTATCTAAGACTATGTCTACTGATGTCGACGTAATTTTGAATGGTGACTGAAAAACTCAAAGTTCTTTAACATCAATATTTTATAACAGGCCTATCCTTCTATCCATACAGGATCCAAAACTATGAACCTTACAAGCATTGAATGAAATGCTACATACACACTGTTAAAGAATGACACTGCCTCCTTTTCAGCTGACAGATTTGAGGACACTCTTAGGTATTCCAGGCCTGCACTGTCGGGCACCAACAGGGTCCTGCTTAATGAAGCAAAAACCTCCAGGGCTGTTTTTTGCTCTTAGGGACACCTGGGATAAAAATGCAAATGTGACAAGTGTTAAGTTACTTGGGATACTAACATATTGACTATCTGAGTAAAAACCTCTCAAAGAACCTATATGAGCTCAGGCATTTAACACGAGGTCATTTTCCACTCTCATCTAACATATGCAATATTGGTCTGGGGGTATTCGGAGTGGCAATGCTGACTGTTTTGTTTGCAATGTAAGGCTATAAAAGTTCTTGTAGGCGTTGGGTTTAGGGAGGAATGCAGATTGGCCTATGGGGCTCTTGCAATTCTTACTGTGCTCGCCTTTTATATCTACAAGAACCTTTTATGTTTGTTAAGAGTAGCAGGGGGCCTTGGAACCCATGGAGAAGTGCATAATCATAACACTAGACTCAGGTGTGATCTTCCAGCCTCCTAGAGGCTTAAGAGGTGTCAAACTGGATCAGAATATTGGACAATTAAATTTTATAAACAAATTGCCTAATAACTTAAAGGATCATTCCGCTACTCACTTTAAAAGAAAAATTAAGGAAATTTTATTAAAAAATGTATTTTATGGAATGCAAGGAATATGTAAAATTTCAATTCTAAACTAATTTAAGTGATATTTGTTTTTATGTACTTAACCAGAATTTAAATTTTTTTAATAGAACTATTGTTCTGCTTTTATTTTGATGTGTGTTACGCTATTGGCAAAATATCATCAATAAATGAATTTGAAGAAACCGAACAAACCCTAACAATTGATATCGCAGCCCTTGGAAGATACATTCAAAAATGTAACCAATGTAACCAAATGCAAATCAAATGGAAGCATGCTGTTTTCATTTTCATAATAATATGGAAGGGAAAAGAACTCAATGTGGCATTCAAAAACCAATGTCTTATCCATAACAGAATATTGAATGATTGGGGTGTCACATATTAAATTGATATTCAAAGAACATCTAATAAACTTCTATGTGGCACTACCAGAGGATCTACAGCCGAAACTTGATGAATGTCTGAACTTGGTCTGGCCTTTGCAGCAGCTGAAGATACTGCTCATGTTTGGTCAAACAATGCTCACATCAACAAGATGAGGTCAAACCAAACAACACCATGCAAATTATTACCAGCACTGTTAGGTCAGTAAGGTCAGTTAGTAATAGCCAAACAACTGTCTTAGACAAAGGTCGATTTTGTCACTTCCTGACAGATGTACATATGTATTATAAAAAACACACCTAGTTTTGAACTATCAAGAAAAACATGCACATGCCTTAATATAGTTTGTGCAAACAAAGCAATCTGAATCCAGTGCAAAGTCTGAATTTTCACCTTAGAATCTAAATTGTGCTTTCCTTTATTATGTGTATGATTCTATAGAACTTGCATAGTATACACTAGGTATTTATTTTTATTTACATATTCAAAAAATTATAAATATTTAATTCCCTATAGGTTTTTGATTAATTTGAACACAAAATTAAATATTTTATTAAATTATTTTAAAAATTGTAAAACGAGCTGACTAAAAAACTGAACTAAATTAAAATTACTTATCAATATGACAAAAAATAATATTGCTTTTCAATGAGAAACGAGTCAACTGTAGATAACAAAGCAAATATTATAACAATAGATATATTTTTAATGTTTGATGGCCAGAATCATCTGTTTAATTAAATAAGGCTAAGTAAATAAAAAGTTACATGAGTTAAAATTCTTTTTTTAAAATCAAATACAAAATCTTTTTGTTAAAGATTATAGTTTTATGAACATAACTACCTTTTTAAAATACAGTTTCAAATAAAAAACATGAAAAGAATGGGCAGGAATTTTTTAATCTTTAAAAAATAGAAAATGAAGTGATTAACTAACATTTCATTATCTAAGAAAGCTATAACCTGCTTGAAACCAAGCCTTATAATAAGAAATATACAGAGTGTAACATTGAAAACAAAACAGATCAATTCTTATGTTCGAAAATATAATGAAGAGTCCATTGGCTGAATTTCTTTCTAAATTTATAATACTTTTTAACAAAGTAAATAATATAATTACAACCTTTGAAGAGAATTCTGTGAATAAGCTGGGTAGATAGAGTTTGCAACAAGGTTGATTTGCAGCAGATGGAAAAATTTATTGAAGTGGTCAGAACAATCAAAAATTGCAAAACTGGAATATTTTGGTTATGTTATGCGTCACCCAGAGTAGGGATGGTACAGAATAGCATTTTTCGGTAAGGTTGGAACTGAACCTATTCCAAACACATACCTATTCCAGATACCTAATGCGAGTTTCTGATTCTGAAGTGAAAACACTTTATATCGATAACTGATCATCACTAGCTTGTTCCTAGTTGTGCTACAACTGTTGTGTTGCGGCTGTCTATATCTGTTGCAGCCGTACCGACCTGAACTTCTTTTGAACCCATCATGTTCAACAGAATATTTCTTGTAACTAAGGCAACGATATTGGAATCGAAATGAACGCTACCGATGCGTTCTCTAATCTCCACATTTCACTTAACTAATGTCTAAAACCTATTTCGAGAAACCAGTTCAAGTTTCATTGTAAATTTCTTGACCTGTCACTGTGCAAAATGTACTCAACTAATGCGGCGCCGTTGTAATTGAAACTGATGCCGTCTACGTTTTGTCATTGGTGCGTGAAATAGATGGTGGAAACCTATTCCAAGGTACCTGCTCCATTACCATCATGCCATCCCTAACCCAGAGAGATATAATATAATTCATTTAATACTATAATGGCAAGACAATGGAAAAAGAGGACCAGGTCGAAGAAGAATATCATGGCTTAGAAACTTAAGAGAATAGTTTAATTTGGAGATATGATAGAAAATGGTCTCCTGTGGAATAAAAATTAACATTTTTACTTTTAAAAAGTGTTAAGACATTTGATCTGTTTTTCTGTTCAGTAACACACCCTGTATAGCTGTTACCTTTTGAAAATAATAACAAAAAAATTTTAGGAATAAATATCTGAAGTCTTTGATGGTACAAAAGGTCATCAAGAACATGATAATTGGAATTACAATTTTCAAAGACACAAAATATGAAAAAATGGAACTATACTTTCAATATCATAGAAGGAACCATTGAGGAAAGGCTGACAATACTGCATGTGAAAAAAATACAAAATATAATGAAACATTCATCATCATCAGTTGGCGCTAAAGCCTTTCATGAGTCCTGGCCTGCCTCGAAATATTCATCCATCCTTCCCTGTCAAGTGTCTGTCTTTTCCATCCCTTACACTAATCTCTCTTAAAACCTCCTGCACATCATTCAGATACCTGAGTTTGGGTCACTCCCTATCCCAAAAAGGATAAATTACCACATCCTATACACAATATACACAGGATTGAGAAAAACATCACTGATATTAATTATACATGAGGAATAACTTGATTTAGATATTTGAATTACTATCAAACATGTGCAAAAAACACAAACAAAAATTTAATGAAGAATTCTGTCATAGGAAACACTCCTCTAAGATAAATAAATATTACAATAATTAAATAAAAAGAAATCAAGTTACTTTAAGATATTGAGCTGAAGTTATACTTAATTCAGTACACAATTCAGCTTAAAAGCCAGACTTCAAATTATTATAAACGGTTTCAAATAAATTAAAAAATTCCAATAATTTTAAAAACTTTGAACAGGGATAAATAAAACTTGTCTCGGAAATCAAATACAACAAAATATTCCAAAAGGAAAAATTAGTATTATTCATAAATTTGGCAAAATTATAGGAAGCTATTAGCAATTTTGTCATGTTGTATTAAAAGATTACGGAATATTTTTATGGTAGCAGACATGGAACATGGAAAATTATTTATTTGAATTTCAAAAATCAGTCACTTACCAATTCTGTGGCTGCTTCATCAATTTTATTTATAGAAAGGATAGTACTTCCATTTAACGTTTTTGATTCAAAATTAACATCCAAATTCAACAATAAATCAGTAACAATGACTTGATCTAGAAACATAAAAGAGAATAGAATTAGGTGTAAAGATTAATTAAATGATTAGTTACCTGGCCTGGAAAATGAACTAGGATCACAAGGACTTAGGCCTACTTTTTCCATGTTGTTTTATAGTTAAAACTACAAATTTTATAATATAAAGAGCACTGCCCTAATCCGAGTATTTTTGAATTAAGAGACTTAGTCAACTGTCACACTGACACTCGAAACTGGTCATTGACTGACATGACACGTGAATTTATGTCAACCTTATGTCAACACACCCCCTAGACAAATCTTCTTTTTTAGTGGCCTTCTACATTTCAGTAATCACATTCAGAATAAAAATTATCCCTGATAATAAAAGAAATATAAAAAACAAGACTTCCGTTTATTTTTAATAAGCTCACTTATAAAGATTCAAGAAACAGCAAGCTTTAAGTATCCTAAAAGAAATGAAAATAAAATGATTAATTTTGTCAAGAACTTAACATAATTTTTTCAGATGTAGCAGTCAGGCGTGAAAAGAGTCATCCATGTCTTAGAAGTTCCATGTTAATTTGATCTGCTTCGATCTGATTCTGCTCTTCTCTTCTTTGAAATTGTGATTACCTTCATAAGTTCTTACACTGTTATATTAAATTCATATAATGTTTGCACTTTTAAGTCCTCTTCCTGACAACCGTTAGGATCGAAGATTCTCATGGTGTTCCATATATTGTTGACTGAAGACCATCAACATGGTCTTGATAAATGAACATTTAATACGCGGCTTTTAACCACTATCCTTACATCGGCAACATTTTAAGCTAACCTTTCCCGGAGACCTGAAGATGAACAGGAAATTGTAGTGTTCAAAATCGGTCGTGCTAGGTTCAAATAAAATAGATTGTGAGTAAGTCTAATATTTATTTTTACAATTCAGTGGACATGGACTCACATGTGTATCATTTGAACTGTATCTTTTTATATTTTATTCATTTCTTTTGAATGAATAAATTTTTACTCCTGAAATTTTAGTATTGTTACGGCGACCACTTGCCTATAGTCGAACATCAGGACGGCGTTCAATGATCTACGACTATCTAGAAAATACTAGACAAAGCAGGTATCGGTTAGAGATTCCAAATAACGATATCACGAGGGATATGGAACTAATCGATGGAATTCTTTACTGCAAGGGAACAATATAGGTAAGAGAAATGAAATGGTAGAGAGTTAGTCTATTAAATATATTTATAGCGTTCACAAAATAACTCTTCTAAATTAATTGTGTTTTAAGTGTTAGTGTAATAAGACTGTATATGAATTAAAATAAGTGTTAAAAGACTGTAAATAAATAAAATAAACGTACCATCGGTGTCAAAAGAATTAGTATGTTTAAACAAATTCCGTGAAAAATTGCTATGAACAATTACGAGTTAAAGGTAACCAATTTACGACGGGGACTGAAAGATATAGAACTAAATTCTTTAGAAAAAAAGGTTGAACTAATATAAAGACCAAAGAACGCTTTGAAAAAAGAAGGTCTTGATCCAGAAACTTATATATTTGAGGACAAGCACGCCGCTGTGATCTCGTCGATTTCTAAAGTTTCTAGTTATATCACATCGTTGGAAACCAAAGTTTCTTCTGATATTACATCTCTGGCAAGCAAGTTTCTGCTAACAACTATTTGGAAACCTCTAAAGTCACTTTAAGATAGAAGAAGATAAGAAGAAGATAAAACGATAAAAAGTTGAAAATATTTCCTCTTATGAACAGAAACTGAAAGACATTA